GTTTTCATATGAAAATAAGTACTAATGAAGATTCGAACTCCAGTTTTGTCGACATTGTCTGTGAATTCACCACCGATTGCTGACACTACCTGGGGAATAATATTTCGATGAGATTTTTTTTGGTGGATCAATGCCGATTCGTATAACATTCCTGTATGCCTAGACTAACTCATATATTGCACATGACAAGGATCAACGTCGTTGCGGAAGTCACTTCCCTTGCAGTGTTGTCAGGTTCGGCACGCAAATTTCGAAATCCAGGTTTCCTATTTTCCGTGTCTATAGTCGCTTCGCACCTGAAATGGAGTTTGAAGCTTTATATGTCGACGCATCGTTACTGTTTTAAACAGATTTGGAACCATATATATATATATCCAATATTTCTAATTTTCAAAAAGAACTAAAATTAGTTTATCAGACGTTTTTTGGCTGTTTTAGAATATGAGAAAATGAGTTTTAGAATATTAGAATATTGCTGCTTCAATATGCGCAATTCACAGATGCTAATGCTAATTGATCCATATAGTAATATGAATACTTTATTAATAAAAATGTAACGATATTTATATGATTTAACATAATGAAGGCGAAAGATATTTAAAATACTTTATGTAATACGGATGCCACATAATTCGATTATGATGACTTTAGATTTGGAAGCAACGTTGTTGGGGAACGCACAGGTATCATATTCAACGATCAAATAAACGGATTCTTTTTTCCAGAAAAAAGTGAAGGTTCGTATGATAAGTGTATCATGGTTTGTGTAGACGTAGATATCATTAATAAACCCAGAAACTAGTATAAACGTGGCTCATTCAATCTCAAGATTTATATGCACGTCCTAAACAGTCCCGATATTATTGCTTAGGCTACTGAGAGTCAAATATTTATTCCTCTTTTAACATTTATCCCGCCGTTCTAGCTTTAGAATATATATTGTGTGGCAAGTGGTTAAAGTAGGCATATCAAGTGCAATTCGTGAGTAGGTTAATAGTTTTTATGTATATATGTTATAAACCTATTTCAAGTTACCTTTCATGGTACTAATATACAATATATATTCTTTGTACTTCATGTTTACTTCATGCTTTGTACTCCCTGCTCCATGTTTAAAATATAAAAAAGTTATTAAGAAAAATATATATTACCTTCCAAAAATGAGTATCAGAAAATTTCAAGGTCTTCCTGTGTTTTACAGACAGTTTAACATATTCCACGAATCTAATTGGGCCTGGCAGACGGGCATTGTCTTCTACTTGTCCAACCATCATACTGAACAATTCCTCAACTGCTGCAACAGTAAAAATGATACTTGGAGGTGCAGGAAGCGCTCGCATTATAAACTCAACGGCATTGGTAAGTAGCCTACTAGCCTTCAAATCAAATTTCTATATATCGTTCAGTGTCTACTACGTACGGCAATGATGAAATAAATTCATCACAAATTCAGATATGAATGTTCGTTTGTTTTGCCCATTGTAACACGTCAGCGAGCTCAGTCTAAGCAATTCCTGATTTGACAATGTATTAAAATAAAAGCCCACCACCAAGGTCGGTGTATTTCTCACTTTAGAATGTTAAAATATAAATCGCACAAATAAAATTTTATTAACCATCTAATAATAAATTAATATAGCTGACTCGAAATATACCGTAAAAGTGGTATTCAACAAAAAATCTCATTGGAGACTATTTTACAAAAATAGATATTTTACAAATATTTAGACAATTATGTATCATCTATGGTTTGGAATGGATATCAATGAATCTGTAAAATCAAGAAGAATTCATCACATATGGGATCCAAACACACTTGAAATTGAAAAAGGGATGGACGAGGTAATATTTCTCCAGAGGGTTCGACACCATTTAGTTTCATAAAAATCCTTCCAATGAAAAAGGTTAAGGCTCGAGTAAATTTGCAACATCTGTAAAGAAAAAACTATTCAAAATCATGATTTTTGAGGTCTAAGCAAGGGGTGGTAAATTACTTTCCTGAGTGGGCCATTTCCAGATAATAGACTTGGTTACTGGGCCGGGTGCTCAAAACATAACATGAATGAAAACAGTTTATTTACAAATATCAAGCGTAACAGATTCTGCACAAAAAACAGCTAGGTATGGTATCAAGTGGCACAATGATTGGGACTGATGTAGCCTACTGCATGCGTCCAAAAGCTTGTTTAAATCAAACTCGAAGCTGCTTGTGCTGATGCATAAGACCGCCTGTAAGTTTGAATCCGTTAGAAAAGATCGGTTTTTGCTTTTTTTTAATCTTCGTACTTCGGAATAATAATTCGGATGGGTGAGTTCGTGGTATATGTGGCTCGTTTTGCACATTATATTCAGCTGCGCATAATATGTGGGAAATTACGGTATTTATTTTTGCCGACGAATCGTTACGTTCATCGGAAATTTATATTCAAAAAAACTATAGTCGTAATTTCAACAGGCACGAGTAGGCCAGATGAAAAACAATTCGGTGGGCCGGATCAGACCTGCGGGCCGTAATTTGCCCACCGTGGTCTAAGCAAATCACTAAATTCGACAGTATGACTAATTCTTGGTTTTGAGTTATTGCCTTTAGGAATAAACGAAACAGTTTGTAAATGCCAAATTGATGGATTAAGCACAGAACTTTTAAAAATGCAAATCATCGATTATTTATATTCTAACTCGCGGTAAATAAAATAAAAATCAACAGACAGATATAATCAATTGAGCTCATGTTCTCTATGTGTAACCTCACAACAATTTAATCGATTAGATCCCAGCTGATTATGTTGAATGATGTACACTCGTGTTTCTATCCGTTGTTTACTTTTTTCGTATATTTTTAAGGAAACTATCCAGGGTTTGAAAAATCTTGGGCATAAAATTGAAATGGTAAGTGGTTATCTATCAACCGTGCAAGCTATTTCAAGAATCCTGGGAAACAAAATCGCCGCAAAATGTGATTGTAGAAAAGGTGGATATCCTGATGGATATTAACTGCACAATCAGATAGATATTGGTCGATGCGAATATCGAAATAAAGAACAGCGAAGAACAATTTTAGAATGAACGTTTTTATTGCCTATCCTTTTAAAAAATGGAATTCAATATATTTCCTCCGTAGTTTCTTTATATTCCCAGTCCTAACTACATCTTTAAATGTGTAGAATTTGCTGTGTATTTTTTATAGTAATTTCGTATTTATTGTCCTTTCAATTTTAGTTGGCATTCAAGTTTTTTGTTGTTGTTTCTTGTAGGTATTTTATTTGCCTCTTATATATATCCTTAATATCAGTATTGCAGAGTTATGCTAACTAAGTACAATTATTCAAGCTATCTGTAAATTGATATGAAATCTATTATCTTATTCTAGTGATTTCCTTTATGAAAAAATAAAGGTATTAGTATTAATTTTCTCATACCTAATCTGCCGTTAAGACTATTCGTTTGCTATTTAAAAATTGAGTTCAGGTATAAATCCAAACGAATATAGACGATGGTGTGGGTTTTCTGTTTCGTGTGTATTCTGAGGCAAATAAAAGCAACTCCGAGAAATGATCTTCTGAGATCTTCAATAGTTGTGACAAATATCTTTACACGTCCTACCTTCGCGTTGTCTCAATAAGGCCCAGTGGTGAAAGCCTCAGACCTGGCCATGTTGGTTTCGCAGGTGGAAGATTTTGGGTTTAAGCATCTTACAAGCAGAATAAATTGGGTAGGTAATGTTTAACGTGCCTTGTTTGTATAGAAGATGTGAAAACGCCTTATTCTGTCTCAAGTTATGTGACTTGTCCGCGTGCTAGTGTTTTCTGCCCTGGAAGCAGGCTGAAATATTCAAAAATAGAGGTAATTATTAGGGATGGGAATGGTTAATCGGGTAACCGATTTTAGATGGTTAACGGTTACGATTTATTTTAACCGAAAAATTGAAGATTGTTTTCTTGTCATATTTCGGACTATATGTAGGTAAAATTGAACAATAAAATAATCAAATCACAACATTTATATGCTTGACACAGTCGTCATAATTTTTAGAACAGAAACGCTGATGCATGTGTCCAAATCCGGTGCGAAGTCCACATTATATCTTCTGTCGTGCGAATATGCGTTTGGTAACTAATCACTGTTAAAATATTCAGCGTCTGAGATGCCGATGATATTGTCGTAGCAAGTTAGACAAGGTGTGTATAGGGCAGTAGTTCCCAACCATTCTGCACCGGTGGACTGACAGTATTAGATCCACTAGAGACCGGAAATAAAAAATATTGAAGTTAAATGAACATTTTTCATAATACTGTAACGTTTCGTCTGACTCAAATTATTACCAGCCTTTTACAGCAGTTTATGACTAGAATAGATATGCAATATACGAACAAACTTTGTAACAAATTAATCGGTCATAATCGACGATTTATCTGAGAAATATTTGTTAAATAAAACTTTAGCTACACCACAAATTGAAAGTAAAAAATGCAATATATAGTGCAATAATTGCGCGATTTCTAAATTAGCGGGCGTTTTTTTTAAACTTCTTTGCGTTTCATACTTTTTATTTATTTGATTTTGTCGTCTGAATATTTTTTTCCGCACTAAACAGTTCATATAGTCTAATTGTTTTACACATATTATTTCAATATAACAGTCTTTTTATTTTCGTTGCTTTTTTGGTTTTCTTTCGGTTCGTTATTTGGTCTGATTTAGATTGGTATCGAGTTGTTGTTTTTGGTTATTGCTCGATCTGTTTATCCTCAGCTTGTACACTTGATGTTCTTGGGATCACGGTCACCCTTCGCCAAGGGTTGGTAATCTGACTCTTTTTCGGAAGGTGCAGTCTAACCCGTCTGTCCTGAGGTTTTGGTGTCCCGAGGGCATGGCATAACGTTGTAACGTCATTGTAGCCAGGGTCGCGTTTTTATGACCAATATCTGATTAAGTTAGAATAACTTTTATTAAAAACACGTGCAAGTTTTAACTGAAGTTAGTTAAATTAAGCCAATATGCCTTACCCTCTCTTCAATCTAATAACAAATTTTTTTTTTTAAATTATTAAAAAAAAGAGAATATATTGAATATAAATATGAAGGAAAAGAGAAAGTAAGTATATATGAACAGTTTGCAAGTGTTTGGCATGTTTTCACTTGAGTCGAAAAAACATCAAGTTTGTTAAGTGTTTTAACAGTCTATTAAAGAAGACTTTCGCCAAAGTTTTTCTCATTAAACTTGATCTTCCTAGAGTTCCGAGCTAAAGTCGGAACCAACATATTTTTATAAACCGGAAGCCAAATTTTTCTTAACACGGAGCGAACCTTGTGTTATAATTATACAAATTTTACAAAATGTGAGAAAGATTATCCATCCCCAAGGCAATTATAATCTTAAAACTAAGATTGAATGTTTCAATTGTCCTATATGAAAATCGGCAAAATTAAAAAGCTTGAAATGATTCTGACTTATAAAGCCTAGAGACCTCGACATTAAATTTTGAACTATTATTCATTTTTAGCTGTTTTAGATTTTGAAGACTTGTTCCAGAATTAAACCGGCTCAAAATTATATAAACTTGATAATAAGGGTAATAATTACTGTTCCACATATCTGGCGTTTAATAAAATAAAAATATGGCAGTGTTAAAGTGTTGCTAAATTCAACCTACTGTCTAATTTACTTGGATAATTAGCGTGGTCTTGCATGTGACTAAAATATTGTATTTTAGGCATTTAAAAAAAAATGTTTGTGACGCCATGACACATTTATACAGCCTATTATGGCGTCATAATTGCCTTTCGTCTAAATCCGACCCTGCTTACTTCTCACGCAATGATGTTACGTTTATGAAAGTATGATTTGAAAATCTTTTATAAAAAATGTACTGAAATGTATATTGCTGATACATTGTCACGAGCATATGTTTCAAATGATAAACCTGTTGATATTATGCATGATTATGATGATTTTTATATTCTGACAATTGTTTCTATTTCCCCACCAAGAGCACATGAATTGGTTGGATTCCTATCAATAGGAATCTCATTTTAAACGGATTCCGTGCGTAATAACAGTCAGTTTTTTGAAGTAAAATAAACGAATCTCTATCAAAATGATATCGTGTTTGTGATACGGTAAAATGAAATCTGCGAAAATAAATTTAGTTATCTCCAGATATAGCATGGCATGTGTGGCGTTTTCTTACGATATAAACATATTACAACTGGTTCAATTCAAATATAGCATTCAAATTGAATTTCTATTCACATCAAATATTTCCTGTTATATAGATTATAGAGCAATGAAAAATCGCCATGTTTTGGCAATTGAAGGGTAGATTTGTAACAAGTAACAGCGACCACTGATACCACTTTTTTGTGAGAAGTTTGAATATTTTAGTCTATGTGTGTTCATGGTGATACTTGTAAAAAATGAAGGAAACAGGCACTACGAATTCATACAAGGAATTTATGTCAGCAGCAGTAGTTTGCAATAATGAAATTCCATGTACTGCAGGGAAAAATATTCTGGCAGCAGGAGGCTCAGTTGTTGATGCTGCCATCACGTCTATGTTGACATTAGGAGTGATATCATTCCAGAGGTATTTCTTTTATTATTCTTATTTCACAAACAAGCAAGAAGCGTACAACGATACTATAACTTTTAGGACCAACTTTTTGGTTTTCTGATAAGCTACTCAATGACCCCTTCACGGGGCACGATGGTTATGAAGTATGAACCCGGGATTTTGGTGGAATCAAGACAATTGCTAGCTGATGTGCATTCATCTATATATAATTAATTTATTATTATAATTCATAAAGTTTTTGCTTTAATTTTTATTTTGTATAGTTGGCCATAGCATGAATAAATGCTTGCGATGAATAGGATTTGCTAAATAAAATTATAAACGATGCTCAAATAAAAATATATTTTAAATATATCAATTTTCGGTAGCTCAGGAATAGGTGGTGGGTTCTTCATGGTTTACTATGATGCAAAAACGGGAAAAGACTATTTTATCGACGCAAGATCAGTTGCTCCACTCGAAATTGATCCTGGATTCTACGTTGATAATAATTATGCAAAAACATATGGTAATTGGAATTAGTAATATTTGGAACAAAAGGCATTCTGGTGTATTAGTTTTTGTGCAAAATTATGAATTTAACTATCTATTCCGTTGTATAAAAGTCATAAATTCACACATACAAAGATACGGAGACTTTTAATTAGATTAAAGCCACCTGATCATCAACAAGAACCAATATCATGCTATCTATCACACTCAATCGACTGTTCACGCCCAGGTTAAGCTGATAAATATAATACCCTCTGTGGAGGACGTTCTATAGCGATCGGAAATCATAAAACTTGCCCAAATCATATATATCATCAGATGAAGGGACGGGCTAAATTTTAATACAATTCATTTCATTTTTTTTTATTTCCAATGAAAAAGCAAACGCTTGTATATTGCTCGTAGGTAAGGGTTGCCATGAAACTTCAGGCGAATGCTTGTAGTACGGATATAAAATGGGATTGATGACGGTTTCTTGTTAATTGTTCTGATCTAGGATATATCATTCGTAAGATTGGGTCTCGTTACAATATTTAAGGTCGGTCATCCATTGCCGTCCCAGGAGAGATACACGGCTTTTGGGAAATACATCAAAGATTTGGAATACTTCCTTGGTCAGCCCTATTCAAGCCAGCCATTGAATTGGCGGAAAAAGGTTTTAGGATGACCGCATCCTGTTCCAACTGGCTCAGAGTGACTATGCCAAAAGTAAAGGAAAATGAAAATTTAAGGTACAATTATGATGTATCACATAATAAGTATCCAAAAAATGTATACAAATATTCATCTTAATGGATACAGAAAAGACGCTTGAATATCCATCCATAAACTTCTACAGAACGTGGAGGTATTTATAGTTCGATCTTGTGGATGAATTGTGGCACTATTATTGAAGCACGATTGAAAGTAAACCTTGCTTATTCAGAGTCTTTGCTCCGAACAAGACAACCACTGATATCTAATGTATGGAGCTACTATTATTGGACAGAACCGATCTTTCCGGATTAGAACCCTGATGTGTCTCACGATCACGTGGTGTTGCAATTTGGGAAGATTATATCGAACGAAATCAATCGGCCATTATGTAAGAAGCTAATAGAAAATTGTAATGCTGTAACAGCAAGACAATATTACAGATAGGGTGGAAAGAAGCGACGGATTATTATCCCTATTCTTTATTCTACAATCCTGCAGAAATTTCCTGAAGAAGTCCGATGGAACATTCAAACAAACTGGTGATTATATCAAGAGACCAAATTTAGCGGCTACTCTCCGTATAATAGCAGAAGAAGGAGCTGCTGCTTTTTACAACGGATCTTTAACAAAATCTATTTTAGATGACATAAATGATGGATTTGGTTTTCCTTCTGCCATCACAATCAAAGACTTCAATATGTACAGGTACAAATGTTCTGTTAACAAAATTGAATCTTTTACTAGGCTTCAAAAGTTATATTTCCACTAGGATTCTAAGTGATTGCCCTAATAAATTGCTTGGTCAAGCATTGGTTTGTAGTCGTAATGATTGTAATCCATAATAAAATCATTTAATATATATATATCTTTTTATTGCTTTTGAAAATAAAATCATTCATAAATGTAGTTTAAATGTATATTTAGGACTAGGATAAGGGAGAGTACGAAACTTCAACTGGACAATTTCACAGTGATATCAACGGCAGCGCCGAGTGGAGGAAATATGTTGGCGTATTTACTCAAAATCCTTCACGGTTAGACATTACTGAAATATACTGAAATATAGACAAAGTAGCTTCAAATGAAACGCTTCAATGCGTATGTACAGGGAAGTCCTAAATACCACAATTATATTCCCAAATACAATACTCTACTCGCTAGATGTGAGCTTTAAAAAAGTTTTAGACATTTAAGCTTTAATTTGAGTCTTTAACATAACGTAAGTGAGGCATAATGTGTTTTTTATTCTCAATCCGACTACGAGTAGTTGATTTGGGAATTATAGTATTCAATAGTATAATCTATGGCTATTTGGCTGTATTTACAACTGCCTTCATGTCTTATCAATGCGGTGGTTATTGCAACGATAAAACAGCCACAAACACGAATAATTTCACACAGAGTCACTCGTAATCATTAAAATATTTTCCTCCTTTCACTATCAGCAGAAACGCAACAAATTCTGTTTCTCACAAAAAATCAATAAATATGCGGTCTGCTTCAAAATCAAGGAAGATTTTTTCCGAAAACAGAGATTTTGAGTTCGCGAAAGACAAAGTTATATTTGATTTTCGACATCATTAAAGAAAGAACAGTAATGAACAAATACCCGTTAATTGTAACAAACTTTCAGATATTATTTTATTTTCCTTACTTCAAGAATTCAATCTATCTGCTGAGGATCTTCGCCAGGATGAAGTTTTAACCTATCATCGAATTATTGAGGCGATGAAATTCACATATTACGAGAGAAATGTACTTGGGGATCCTGACTTCTGTCCAAATGTTAATCGGGTAGGCGCGTATGTTAGACATCAAATGCTGTAGAGCTTAACTCACTTATTACTGTAAATCTAAACAGCGCACAATTAAACAATTTTGGCACAGACTGTAACTGTATACAATATTTCAGTCTAGCTATATATAAATTACCGGTAATATTCCTGGCAAATTATCGTTTGAGAGATACATTTAGCATGAATTCTATGTTTGCTTTTTATTCCAAGATTTTAAAAGAAATTAGTACGGATGAATATTGTAAGAACGTAAGGGAAAAAACTGATGATTCACAAACTCACCCATTACAATATTACGGTGAAGATTTGACCCCGGTACAAGAAGATCACGGTACAGGGCACTTGGGAATAATTGGAGAAGATGGAAGCGCGGTCGCCATGACCAGCACTGTTAATCAACCGTGAGTTAAAAGTTTCAATAAATTTTGAAAAAATGATCATGATTGAAGGTCGAGATTGAAACTTTTTCACGTTTCACAAAAGCTGAAATAGCAAACAAAAAATTGTGTTCAATGATGCTAATTCAACATGTTACTCTCACTTAGATTTGGCAGCAATGTTCTTGGACGAAAAACTGGTATTGTGTTCAACGATCAGATAGGAGAATACTCGATACCAGGGGAAACAGGTCTGTAAGAAGTTTACAACTATGCTTACTGCATTTCATCCATCGAGTTCAATCAAACAAACACAATGCTTTCTGCAAATGAAACCACAGTAAAATGATCAATACTTCCGGAATTAAAAAAAAGAGTTCTAAACGTCAAATGCGACTGAGAGGATATTTAGTTTCATTTAATATTTTGTTTTCTAGTCACTAAGAGGTGGCGTCCAAATAACCTGCTTGAACCTGGGAAAAGAGCTCTTTCGACTACATGTCCGACTATTATTTTAAGCAGAACGCCTGGAGGTCCAAAAGTAAAAATGATTGTAGGGGGTTCGGGAGGGACAAGAATTGTAAGCGCTACAGCACTAGTAAGTATCTAGCTGTAACTCTGACAACTCTGTAACTTTACCTAATTTGAAGTCGTGGTATCGGGCTCTCATTATTTGATATGTGAGGAGCATTTTTGAACTCTGAATTTCAAACAAAAAAATATTGTTTCATGTTAACTCGCTTAAGTCAACCTTAATGAAGTTTTGCATTATGAATTTCTAGTGGTAGGAGTGTTTTTCTCAAATCTCACATTTTTGCATTAGTGGCGGAAGTTTTCCACAAATGAACCTAAATTCCGAACGATGCTTTTGAGCTTATTGTAATAGATATATCAAACAAATATATCAAATGTTGCCTGAACAGAATGTCTTTTAAAATTTGCAGACAATTATACGAACGCTTTGGTTTCACGAGGATTTAGATAAAGCAGTCAAATCGAAGAGACTTCATCACACCTGGTACCCGAACGTTTTGCACATTGAGAATGGAATGGACCAGGTGAGCTGTATATTGATTAAAACAGAATCCATTGTTTCTCTCATTCTGAGAGTATATTATTGAAAAACGACGTGCCCGAATGCACCATGTACACAGGTTCTAAGTAATCTCTTTGGACATAATATTACACATCAAGCAATTATCTCTAGAATGAAATCACTAAGCAGGTTCATGGTAATGATAATTTGCAAAATGTAAAAGTAGGGAAGACAACATATCGTGCCCTATTGAATGTAGTGATCATTTTTATTCCGTGATTTCTTTTACCAGGACGTTGTACGTGGTCTAAAAGAGCGCGGGCACAAGATAGAGTGGATGGAAGGTTACTGTTCAACTGTCCAGGCAATTCTGAAGCTAGAAAATGGTAGAATTGCAGCCAAATGCGACGAAAGAAGGGGAGGATATCCAGACGGCTTTTGACAAAATTATTACATATATATACGATATGGCCATGAGTCTTTATATCCAGTAGCAGACGATACCTGACTTCTTCAATTATGCACTGCTTTACCAAAACTGCTTCTTATGTTCAAAATTCATACATATAGTTCAAATTTTGTGCTTTGGCAGTAGCTTATTATAACCAACATAATACTGAGCTGAACTGAAAGGTTTCTTATACACAAATTTTCTTAAAGCATGGCCGATTTCCATCAAATGTTAGTGAAAAAAGCTTATGTAGAAAAGTCAGACATATTTTTAGGCAAGGTGGTGAACATGAGCTCGTTTTGTGATTTTACAACCTAATGGTGATTTTTGTTTTCAAAATCTAGGTATTTAAACGATTTTAGTCTCAGTGTCAGCAAAACAGCTAGGTGAAATCGAATTCCAAAATCTTGTCAGCTACTTTTGCTATTTGAGGTGTCAAGTTGTTCTTTTTAATAAACAATCAAGTCGGAATATTAGATTTTCTCATCTAACAAATAAACTGTAACTAGCAGTCCAGGATTATGCCGACAACAAACTGTGACGCTAGCAGCTGTTGGCCTTGTAGACTATAAAATAAACTAAGTATGAGTATCCGTCTCCCTGTCTAAAACGAGAATATTTGCCAACACCACAAAAATATGATTTGTAAGAACTTTTTGTTTTCAGGACTGCCCTATGGCCTATAAGCTTATCCGCCAATTGGCCATAAAATATAAACATGAAAATAGACACTTACAAATGACAAAACTCCAAAGCTCAATGACGGAGGTGCGCTGCATATAAACCAAGAAATGAGAGGACGACATGCGAGAGAATTCTCGGATGCCAATTGGCTCATTTGAATTATGTTTGGGACCCATGTGTGTTATGAGGGATGAAAATAATAATTTGTACCAAATTTTATATCAGAAATCAGGTCATCTAACTCAGTATGAATTTACTGTCAAATTGTATGAAACTAGCATGAGTACAAAAAACAGATATTGCGAAAGAATTTTCTAGAGCGCGACCTAGTGTCCATAATTAAAATTGGGGAACATTTCTTACATCGATAACCATTGCAACTGTTTTGTAAAAATAGAAACAGTTGATAATGCTTACTACCATAGCAGTGACAGGACAAGCTGACGTGATCTTCATTAAGCCGGATATATACCAATCTTCACAAATGTTCGAAATTTACCGTTTATGAGGGACGACCGACAACTAGATAGCCTGTAGGCCAGGGGTGGGCAATTACTTTCCTGAGTGGGCCGGATGCGGATAATAGACTTGATTACTGGGCCGGATGACCAAAACTCAATATGATCAAAAACGGTTTATTTGAAATTCGCAACTCGCAAGTCTATCAGTCATTAGTCAATCGCCTTCCCGTTTCCCTAATCGCGTTTAAATGATGTAAAGCATCAGGTATTTGCAGCAGGGGATATAGTAAATAACATTGAAATATTAGCGTTGAAAGAACATCGAAAATGTCATGAGTACAGACAGAATAATTTGAGTACTGTAAATCATGTACTAGACCAGTGGTTCTCAAACTTTTTTCGCCCCATACTGTACTTTTAACGTTATCATCGCCCCAAAAAACTACAACAAAACATCAAGTTACAAACAAATTTATTGCGAATCAATTAAAAAATAGCATGGTACCGGATGTTGTTAATAAGATGGAGGAATTTTGGTCAGGTGCAGTCTAAAATCATCATCAATATTTGATCTGACCCTTTTCTGCCATCAAATATGATGTTATAAATGGAGGAACCAACAATTTTACGTCGGCAAAAATGCCAGATGACTTGCGGTGACTATATTTTCAGTACATTTACAGGGGAAACGAGTCGTCGCGCTCACGACATTCATTAAAATTGCCGACTTTGTCACCGATGATGATTTTCTGTTGCGTAAAATATTTAGTTCATGGCCGATACGAGCATTAAAATTGTCTCGCGATATTAATTCAATTATTTTCAACGTGAATCGCCGTTGCGCCGAGTTACAATAAATGAAAATTTCACTATGCTGAAATACTACAATCTGATCTTTGGTTTAAGATAATTTTAGGATATCACCGTTTGCAAAATCCCAATGTCTGAGTACAATTTAACACGATAAAGTAAAAGAATAATTATTTTAATGCAGTAAACTGGCGCCTCACAAACAAAATGTTTGGGAACCACTGGACTAAGCAATAGATACCGATTGAAAATTTCGAGATAATTTAGTTTACCGACATATTTTCGATGTTCTCGGCTTAAATACCCTTAAATACCTTAACTTAATTTTAATCACCGAGAATGCGCAATTGCCCCTATTGCCCCTTTTCTTATCTCTTTTGCCCCCACTTTGGGAATCGTTGTACTAGACTAGACAAAAGGAAAGACATATGTTGGGGCATTCACAAACGCACGAAAAAATTTGTAGGCCCAAATGCTGATATATCAAGAGCTTGAGTTTTTTTAATGACTTAAATGTTTCGGAGGGATGATTTTTGCACACCATATTCAGGTGCTTGTAATACGCGATGAATTACGGTATTTACTTTGGCCGACGATCAGTTTCAATTTATATCATCGATATTTTCAACGGATATTTATATTCCTAAAAACTATGGTCATAATTTCAGCGGGCACAAGTGGGCCGGATGTAACACTCCGGTGGGCCGGATCCGGCCCGCGGGCCGTAATTTGCCCACCCCTGCTGTAGGCTCTTCTGCACAAAAATCGTTGGAGAGAGGAGATTATAACCTGCCCATCGGTGAAAGTTAGCTGTTAGTTATAATTTAAAAATACTGTAATATACATCTAAAAACGCATAAATGAGTACTATACGTACGAAAACAAGTTAATGTTTTCACACATGCTTCAAAGTATCTAAATTTAAATTGTTGCATCATTTTTATTATCTTGGCCATTTCTACGAATGTAAGCAAGGGAGTCGATTAACGAAGTGAGACATTCATTTTCAAGTTTTCCTCTTTATTTGTATTTGATTGCTCAATATTTTAATGTATTGAGGTGTACAAATCAACGATAATATAATTATGAAATTATAGGCCTAGATGTTTCTCAAGAAAAGTGGAAACTTGCCGTCGATAGAAAACAATTTTCAAGTTTTTATTTGACATAAAAGGTTCGGGTACAAAATCCGAGAAGGGCGTTACGGTCCCGTTCAGATATTTGGTTTTATTAAAAAACAAAAAGGATTGAGTATAAATTTTTTTAATAATATTGTAAAATTCCCACCACAAAACCAACGACTAAACCAAGCAGTAGAATCTGGACTGGAGGAATATACACTCGAATCGTAGGTGTGAATGTAATTTACAGGCTCGTTGAAGCACGCGCCAACCTACTTTGATTACAAAAATTGCTAGTTCCATAGTGAGCTTTCGTAACTGTTTTTTTAACATGTTTGTCTCTTGAGCGTTTAAAAATAGAATCAATCATCTCTCTATACACTCCAGTAGAAACAGATGCCAACAACGATGAATATTCAGACACTTTGCGCTGTGTTGAATTTAGTTACTTGTCACTTCATTATCATTATAATGCCATATCATTCATCATATTGTCACTTGATTATTTCCTTCCTCGAATCTTAATCTGGAAATATTATTGATTCTTGAATATATTCCATATTGGGCCATGGGTCGAAAGAAACCATAAAATTACACAAAATATAACGCATCACTAGGTCTCTAAGCACTTATTGTATCAAACACTGTCGAATTGTGCCCTTTAGGACATGTCCCACTGAACCCCGGTCCATTGTTCCCCATAGGAAACAAATATTTTCAGACTACCCCACGGCGAAATTCGGAAGGCACATCGACTCGCCAACGTTATGAATATTTTACAATGCACTATAGCTGAAAAATATCTGACGGTGTTTTGTCATGTTGGAAAGGCTAAAGTAGAAAAAAGAAAAAACTGGGATGATGAAATTTTAGTTTCAACCTCCCAAAACCAATTTTATCCCATAGCTTGCGCCGCTCTACCCGTCCGTTGTCCGTTCGTGGGGACGTTGTGACTCACCGAAGGGCGGATTGAAACATCGAACCGCGGACAGGATTGCGGATATAGTATCAGTGTGAGAGCTGATTTTCCACTGTGCCCCATGTCCCAACATGCTTCACCTTCCCCCCACATTCTTTATGTTTTAGAACATTGGTTCCCAACCGCCGGTCCGCGAAGCTTTTTGCCGGTCCGCGAGAAAATTTCGGTGTTTTGTTGTTTTTATGCCGTCTAAATCGCTTTAACGAGGACGCTTTGCCGTACTGGTATTGTTTGCAATATATCCTTCGCTGTAACCTAATCAGAGTGGTAATTTTCCCTTATTTTAATTTGTATATAAGCTTTCAAAATTGTATTTGTTAGAAATATTTTGTGCGTATTGTTCGTTTTCCATGGTTTTTAGTTTTAATTTGCCAAATTTGCATTCTCTTCAAGTTTTTCTTTATTTTTTCTTGTTGTCCTCCCATTTTCTCTCTTCAGTGCATTCTCTCGTGATAGGTATATATTTATTTTGTTAAATAATCTGCACAGTAGCCTCAATTATGTATACACTGCCGCAACTACTGGTGTTCAGTAGTTGTGTCTCATATAGTTACTAACCCGCATCAGCTAGGTGTCCCTACTAGAAGACCTTTATAGGTTCCTCGCGACTCCGGTCACACAATTAACATGACCATGCAGTATATTTCGTTTGTTGTAACAGTTTTCTATATGCTTGTTTTTTGTGTTGACAAATAAAAGATTGATTGATTGAGGTTGCGTTGGTTTATTACGCAATTTTTCTTCCGCTGTCGGCGCCGAGTAATCATACTTTTCGCTTTTTCGGCTCCGATTCATCTCGAATGCGCTCCGATCTCTTTACCGAAGACGAGGTTGATTTATTACGCAATTTCTCTTCCGCCGTCATATTGCGACGTCTTTCGCGACATCTTGGCGCCAAGGAATCACACTTTTTGCTTTTTCGGCTACGATTCATCGTGAATGCGCTCCATCAAATCTCGCAAGATTCAGAAACCTAAAAATTGGCACGCGTGCTTTATCTGTACTGCATGCTTTTCCTGATTAATATGACCATCCAAATAAAACGTTATGCATATTTCTTTGTTCAAACTTTCTCTCAAGATCTTTTCCAGTATCTTGAGCAGACAAAGTAGGATTTTGAGCCTGGTGCCAAATTACCGACGACTTTGTCATTGTAATGTAAATTCATCCTGTTTGAAGCATAGATCAACTGCAGAGGGATTAATATGATAAACCCAATGAAAAAGCTTGATTCAAATTTTGATTCTAATATACAGTCCAGATTTAAAAAAGAATCACTGTCACAATTTTAGATATCTCTTAATAACGAATACCCATCACTAAGTAATCAAGCAATCAAACTGTTGTTCGTATTTTCAACGAGTTACTTATATTTTTATTCCTTATATATAAAAATATTATCATCACTAGCTTTAATTAAAGCGAAGCAAGGAAATTTGCTGCACGCCGCTGCAGGGCTACGTGTTGCAGAAACTTCTTTCAGGCATCGTTTGCAATCCTATATTGGGAACTAAACAGCAGCAAAATTTTCACTAGAGTTAATTGTGTTTGTACATGATTTGGCATGTACATGATTTTTATGTGAGATGTTTTATGTGGGCCTTTCTTACGCATAATGGGTACCCAGCACGGCATTTCAGTACGCAAATATTTTTGGTCGGCACATTATTTGATAGTTTTTCTTTGTATGAGCTGTTTTTGAGTGTGCCTTTTTTGTCTAGATGCATATTGAGTGCCCGACATTGCATTATATTACGCAAATATATGTTATTCTTTTATGTTCCGGTCATTTCAATTTTTTGCCGGTCCCCGAGTACATTTAATTTAATTTTACCGGTCCGCCAGGGTAGAAAGGTTGGGAACCACTGTTTTAGAACACACAACAGGCGCTGTATGAAACTTGTTTCAAGGCAATTTTTGGGGTATCTTATTAAATTTACTCAACATCAGACGCGATCGACTACTCGAGACGTGGCGATCGACCGGTCGATCGCGATCGACGTTTTGGCCACCCCTGTCTTATAGGATATCAATTAGTCAAAAAAGATCTAATTCTATCGTCTCTTGTCTGTGGTGCCAAACCATTAGAGGTCATGGGAGTATCCAAAGCAGTTGCTTTGGTCCTTTTCACATAAATAACCCTAGCTTCACTAATCACACTAAATTAGAAACGTTCTACGTAAAATATAGTATTTTTATTTATCGAAGCAAAAACATGATTGTGTGTACCAAAGGGATACAATATACGTGGCATGGTATCAAACTTGAAATCTTGGAAACTTGGTTAAATTTAGCGTTCTAGATGTAAGGAGGCAAAAATTTCCAATTAGTCGAACTTTGGAAACAACACGCGCTTCAATAAATAACACTGGCTGCCTGCTTTTCATCATACAGAAGATTACCTGCGCTGATCGTTTCAAAATAGTTCAATATTTTCGAGTGTTGACATTTGTGAACCATGCCTAGCTATAGAAATTTCATGGTGATTTGATTGAGCACATATCATTACCACGTAAAATATTTAAAACTCATCTTCCTGCGGAATTGATAAACATCAACAAGTTAAACAAGAAAAACGGAAAGGTATTAAATCTACAATTTAAAATACAAAGAAAAACAAACAATCCAGCCGTTGCATCGTAATCTGAAGTGATAACTAAAAATTGGGCGCGCTACAAGTCTTATTGCGTTGCCATTTATTTCTCTATTCAAACTCCCTACATTTCATATTTTATTAAAGGATCATTGATAATTAGCTGTCCAATGTCATAACAGTCTTTGGATTGATTATAGATGCGTACTTTTAACAAAGATATCGTGTATCAAATATGCCATAAAACTGATCTCTGGTTATTCCATTGGTGCTATATTCTATTATCATCATTATTAATCAATGGCATGCATATTGAATCAACGTGCGTTATCTCCCTGAAGAACTTTACTATAAAGGCAGAAACTTTCTATTCTGTATAAACAGATTGTTGTGTTGATTTTAATCGTGTCGGCGATTGCTGAATCTACATCGTTTGACTCCATGAAGAAAACTGCGGAAATAGGCGAGAGTGATTTTGCAAAAATACGGAAGCTCATGTCTATGATGAGAAAAAGTAAAAAAAATATTGATAATTCAATTTAACAGCATATATACCGAGCAAGAAAGTTGTATACTTATGCTTTATTCCGGTTGATAGATCTTTTTTACACCAACTAAGCGTTGAAATACGAAGTAACTTATTTCATGTAGAGCCTACCGAGGACATATATACTATTAGTATTAAGAGGTCAAAATGTATAATCTTTCATACTAACTATGCATTTTTACATCTGGCTTTTTAACAAAACAGGCACTCCGAACGCATTTACTAACAATGAATTTTCAAACCATATAAGTACGTTTTCTGCTTTCCCAATGAAATTAAAAAAAAAAAAATATCCGCACACAAATATCTTATAAGTTATTATTCTGGTAAGTCATCGGTTGTTTTATGATGGTTATATATAATATTAAAACGCCAGAACGTATTGCAATTTTCAAAAATCTAGTGTATTTTAGGAAAGGTTGGAGAATGGAAGAGACGTTGACTGTTGCCAAGTCTGAATTATTGGACAAAATAATGGATGAAAAGCTTGACAACACAGATATCAAGTTTACATACACGCTTTAAAATATTTATAAAGCAAGTTATTGTTATATATATAATACTACAAATTGAATATATAATTAAAATGTTTTTAAAGTGTAGTTTTGATTGGTCTGGAAATAATATAATGGTGAGAGGAATTCTCATAAGAAAGATGCCATATAATTCAGGGTATAGAGACAGGCCGAAAAAAAAATAATGACCTGGTACTTATATATATATACAGATACATAGTGGAAAAAAATCCTGTCCTGAACGCAGTGGCTTATCTAGGGCATGGTAGCCATGGCTCGTGTCATGGGCGCCGTTTGGAAAGAAGCGCAATAGTTTAAATCGTGGAATGTGCCAATAAAATATTTTTCAAATCGGGAATAATTAAAACTCGTATTTTTACTCAAATGTTAACGCACAAAAGTCGTTAAAAATTGTCAGTCAACAATCAAGAGGGTGCATTTTAAAATTTCTCATTTTACGTAGATACGCCACTACCTGAAAGTCTTGTATAAAACTAAAAATTAATTTCTATTCAAGCATACATAGTTTTTTTTATAGACGGGAATAATGAGGTAAATTGCATACGCACTTGGGGTGTTCAAAATGAAGGTGTTTAAAATAAATGGATTGATTCATTAGTTACGAAGAAAGTCGATTTATCATAACAACCCCAGCAACAAGAATTTAGCAAAACAATTTATATATACACTTCGTGTATGCTAAGTTCTAAACTTGACTGCAAAAGTCAGCAACTACCTTAGTTAAAATCAAATGCATAACTCTTCGTAATTTTATTTACATCCTTGTGACCTCAACTTCGAAATAATAAGCTGTCACGTTTACTTTCGCCGAGTGCAATTTCGAACGCTTTATCTTTGACAAAACTGACATTTGGCACTTCTCCCGGAAGAATGATTAAATTTCAAATCGATCAAAGTGTCTTTATTAAAATACTCGACTTGATAGCGACGAGGCTCCCTACTTCAAGTTACGACTCAGACAGAGACTTGACCGTTTACCTCGCGGCAGACATTAGACATTAACAAAATTCAGTTTAACAGCTGACTTGAAGTGAACTTACAATGACCGCTGGAAAAGGTTTATTATCAAAAACTGAATTACAGATTTCTTCGTAACATATAACAAAAGCACCCGCTGAGAGCCTTCAACTAACAGTGGAAACATCGACGTTAGAAAAGTTTAGCCTAAAGACAAAGCGAGTAAAAGCTCTTCCGTGGGATTAAAATATAAATATAGCCAGATACGTTTTGATACTCTGGCCTGCATTATACTGAGGGATTGCGAAATTGTTTTATTAATATTGCGATTGTGCTTTACATTTAGTTTATCTTTAGGGTGGGTTGATCAGTCGTATTAATTTATCTTAGCTCCTAGTTAGTATTGGCTATCACTGTTTGTTATTATGAATAACATGTTATTGTTATTTTCTTACACGTACCGTATACATATTGAAAGTTTTGTTATCATGTTGTTGATCTAGTTGTTATAGTAAGTCTTTTCTTGTTGTTGTTATGGAAAAATCGCTTCTCTCTCTCATTGGTGGATCATTTGCTTTCAGTTTTTAAAGATTGTTGCTGACGCTAGAATGCTCTTACTTTGATTTGTGACTTGTTTCCTCTGAGGTCTGATATTTCGTGCAAATTTCCGCTGTTTTATTTTTATTATGTCCACACGTTTTTATGACTTCCGTTTTGATTTTGCGAACTCGTGCTACGCCAAAGTCGGAGGTTATTCCATACCTGTAACGAACTAAATACAGTTACCTATTTCGACTCTTTCTTGTTTATAGTGCATTCAACTGTGAGTCTACTACAACATCGTTGAGTGAATTGGAGTTTCACTTTCCAAGTTTACACTCGTGCTGAGCATAATATTTATATTTTATTCTTCAATATAAGTAAATACCCAAAGGCAACTTTTAGATAAATCCGTGGTGATCCTTCTCCATATTTTATATCTTAAATTTTATGAGTTTTCATTTCATCTCATAGAGTTAATAATAAACAATATTCGAACCCGTACAGTTCTGCCAGATGAATGGCTCAATATCCGGAACTGATCAATCGATAAGTTGTTTTGAGCTGTCGCGCTTATTACTAACGGGTAATTTAATAATTTATGTCGAAATGTTTCATAACGGCCTTTTTTCAAATTAGAAGAAGCCAATTTGAAATTTGTCAAAAACCTTAACCTTTTTCTATATTATCCAGATAACTAATATTGCCTACAAAAACATGGATTTCAAGTATTCTAGCGAAGGATATAACAGCGAACAGTCGTATAAAGAATTTAAATCTGCTGCAGTAGTTTGTAATAATGAAGTCACATGTACCGTGGGAAAGAATATTCTTACAGAAGGAGGATCAGTTGTCGATGCCGCCATTGCATCCATGTTAACATTGGGTGTTGTATCGTTTCAAAGGTAAGTGTTAGGCTTTTTTGTATGTGAGAAGATTGATTTTGTAGACGTGTTTTCATTGCAACGTCGTGCTCAATTTGCAACGCCGCAACACAGTGTATTCGATGTGACAGCAATAACGGCTCACATCCGAACGGATTTCTCTGTCCGCACGTTATGAGATGACAGCCCAACTTTTAGTAAATCACAGATCGTCGAACATTATCGTTTCAGGCATTATACTCCGTTTAACTCCTATTTAGGCATTTCCCCCTTCAATATTCTAGTTGTTAAGATCGAGTGGCCGCAGAAAAACGCGTAACATAACATAAGTGTTCTGTGTTGCAGGGTAAAGTAGTAGTTTGTAAGTTAGCAAAAATCGCCATATCCGGTGAACGGAATCGAAAAGATTTGAAAGTGACTTCTGATTGCAACAGCCAACCCAAAATAAAAATGATAAGTTGTGTCAGTGAACCCGTAGCCGTGAATTAAATATAGTTAAATCCCACGTTGCTCAATTCACTCGTCGGCCATAGTTAGAGGTTGCATATTTTCGAGTTTTTTTGATTTCATATTATTTCATGCGGCCGGACATGTAAATTATATTTTTAATTTTTAGTGCAGGTCTGGGTGGCGGATTTTATATGATCTATTATAATGCTGAAACAAATGAAGATTATTTCGTTGATGCAAAAGCGCAAGCTCCCCATGTAGTTGATGGTGACTTCTACACGGGAAATGAATATGCTATGACTTATGGTGTTTGAATTACAGTGTTTTTATATTTATTATTCTTCAATCTTTTAGTTGTTGTTGTTATCACAAATTTAGTGATTTCTCATCCGCCTCAATTTATTGAAAATTTTTATTTGATCAAACTAAGCCAGCGGTACTACATATATCGCTAGATATTGCTGATATTATTGTTATTTTGAAATCAAGTTTGAACACTTATATTTCTGGCGTAGAATCGAACGAGACATAAGATTACATACATATAAATGAGGAAATTATTCAACTATTTTAAATATTAAGTATCAAAATAGCTTTTTTGATTAGGTGTTGCAATTACCGCATAGGCGTCCAAGATTTTCCTCCCTTATACGACACCGTTACTCTTATTATATACCCACGTTATCCGATGGGTCGCTGTAGTCACTTGAGTCTGCAACGCCAGTTCTAAATGTTGTTATTTTGTATCATATTTTTATTCCACAATTTTTGAATTTCAGGCAGATCATCTATATGTGTGCCAGGAGAACTTAAGGGATATTGGGAAGCTCATAAAAAATTTGGAAAACTGCCATGGTCGCGTATATTTGAGCCAGCAATAGAACTTGCTGAAAATGGCTTCAAAATAACCGCAGGATGTGAGACGTGGATCAGAGTTACAGTACCAAAACTGAAAGAAAACAAACGATTGAGGCAAGCCGTTTTATGCATATGTTTGCTAATAGAAGTTCTGAAAATTCATATAATGTGTGAGACGTGTGAGCAAAAATTATCAAAACCTTTGAATATGACGTGGTATATGGACGTGGTATAGAATTAGGTATTCTATTATTCGTTGTTTCCCAGGAGTCTCGTAACGCGTGCAGATGGATCTTTTAAAAAGGCCGGAGATATTATAGTGCGTCCGGAATACGCAAAAACTCTCCGACATATAGTCAAACACGGGGCTGATGAATTTTATAATGGATCCATGACAAATGATATATTGAAAGATATACATGACGGATTCGGCTTCCCGTCGTCTATATCGCATGACGATTTTGCTCAATATAAGTGAGTGTAGAAAAAGTAATACTAACACAATTCAAACACTTTATATTAAAGTCATCTGACCATTAGTTTGATTCACAGAGTGACATAACTCACCAGAACTGTTCTGATTACCATGGATTTTCACTCATTAATAACCTATCGTGTTTCGTATAGGATTTTAACGCCGCATTCTCTTTTTATATCATGCTGTACCATGAGAAAAAGTTCAAACATGTATTCTAGATGGCTGACATAGTTCTTTAATCTTTTTGTAATTATACCAAATATATCATTTTTTAAATAACAGAGTCAGAATTGAGGAATCTGTAAAAATGACACTCAATGATGATCACACATTAATAACATCAGGAGCACCAAGTGGTGGACCAGTACTGGCTTACATACTGAACATTTTAAATGGTATTCACATTTTAACGCTATTGCTTTTCAGCGTTTTTTTTCGTTGGGGCTTGCCATGTTTATTTTATTAGGAACATTTGCGAAGAAAAAAGATGTTTAATTCCAACTCAAAGCAGATTATTTTTCTTTGAAAAAAAAAACGCGCAGATAAGTAATTAACCGTTGTTGAATTTGATCACCATACTATGCAATCATTTCTATATTCCAATTTGAATTAAACGAGTTTTCAGAATAGCCATAACATTAATGCATTTGTTACTAAATGCATCAATTAATTCCTCCTAATCTGTTTGTAATGATTTATGATTTCGATATTATAAAAATAATCATGTTAAAAGGTTATCATTTTACTGAAGAAGACTGGAAGAAAAACAGAGTATTAACGTACCATAGAATTGTGGAAGCAATTAAATTTGCTTTTTACAAACGTACACACATTGAAGATCCATATTTTTCAGATGAGGTTGATGAGGTAAAGATGTTTATAAAAATATTTTTTACTATACTACGCTATAAAGGTTATTAGACTTTTTTTCACTAAACGAAATGAAACGACTTCTGATATTTATAGGCAATCAATGAATTATAGGTCCACATTTTTGTCCATATTTTTTATGTTCAAAACTATAACCCCGACACGGGCAGACTACAAACCGCGGGCCAACCCGGCTCGTTGGTTTATTCAATCTGGCCCGCCTGATGCTGCCACAACTAAACTAAAACCAAGTCTTGATGTTTTACCTAAAAAATAACTCGAGGAATTTGTTGAGATTTAGATCAAATTTAGTTTTGGCACGAGGCTTATTGTTTTCCAAGTTTGCTTTTGTAACACTGTGAAACGTCACGCTAACAACCGAATTGCGTAAGTCATTTTTAGCAGTTCTGAGAAAAACGTAAAAAACTTCCTAATGATATTGTTATGCCTTTGAGAGTCAATAATTTGCCATGGTTCAATTTTTCGATCGTAGCCGGATTTACGTTAATTTCTATGACGCAGTTAAGTGACGTCATAATGACGCACTGTGACTAAGGCAGAAATGTGTCTATGACTTGGGGACATACGCAATTTTGCAACTTTACTATATGCACCAGTCCTGAAAACCAAACATTACAAAAACGAATGTAATTCTCAGTATCTACAATGTCTAATCCCCAAAATAGCTAATCAGTTTCAATTACAATATTTTTTATGTTTAAAAATGTGTATTTCATCAATATAACACGTTCTGCACACCCACCGAAATAAGACTAAGATTAAATATAAAGAATAAAAGAGCAATGCACCCAATATAAACGCCAATCAAGGTAAATTGGACTCGGACAGTGAAAATCACAAGTGCACGTCTTCCTATACTGTAGTATAAATTCAAATTAATACGCGCTAAGCTAGAATCCGAGATGCAAAAACTCGAAAATACTTTGCCGAGGTTATTTTGCCTTTGTGACGTCACAATAGTCCTGCGGTAACAATGATAATTCATTTTGATGAAACAATTGCACAAATGTGCATGTCATACTAAATCTCGACTTTTATGGGTTTCGGAATTCTTAAAATACAATCTGAGTTAACAGACAGGTGCGCAGCATTACATAAATACCTATTTCATAAAAAATTCAAAACCGCCAGAAATGACTTACGCAATTCGGTTATTAGCGTGACGAAATGTAGTTCATAAAATGTAACTTTTTGTGCCACACTTACATGGCCCGCCAGTCTAGGTGGGCGGAATTTTTGGCCCCTGGTCCAAAAACCTTGCCCACCCTTGCGTATCACCAAACGATTGAATCAAGTTTGTCCGTAACTTTGTAGTTCTGCATGCTCTACGTAGTGCCGTTACTGATCCAATCTATATCTCTCAGATTTGATAGAGAGTATGATTGCTGGTCGTCTTATTTATTCGAACTTATTTGCATTTAATTCAAATATTAGACTTTTCCTTTCTGATACAAAAAATTATTTTTCGTATTGAACGCAGCTTGTAAATCAAATGACTTGTCAAAAACATGCGGAAGAAATCAAAAGAAAAATAGATGATTGTCGGACCTATTCCTCAGAACATTATGGAGAAAAAATGGCACAAGTTCCTAATGACCCGGGAACTGCACATGTTGGTGTTATTGGTCCAGACGGTAGCGCAGTGGCAATAACCAGTACAATCAACCACCCGTAAGTTAGAGTCAAAATCATTAAATTTATGTTATTTCAGGGTAGTAAATTTGATGGAAAATATATAGCCGATATAATTTGCACCTTATTGGCGGTATATATTCTTCAACTCAGGTTGGGAGAGCCTCCATCCTCCTTGGCAAAACTGTAATGTGTTACCCAATTTCGGCCCTGGTTACAGAGATTTTCAATTGTTGTGGTCAAAATTGTACATTTTTCGTAAATTTTAGTAACGCGGTTCAGTTTTCATATGAAAATAAGTAATAATGAAGATTCGAACTCCAGTTTTGTCGACATTGTCTGTGAATTCACCACCGATTGCTGACACTATCTGGGGAATAATATTTCGATGACATTTTTTTTGATGGATCAATGCCGATTCGTATAACATTCCTGTATGCCTAGACTAACTCATATATTGCACATGACAAGGATCAACGTCGTTGCGGAAGTCACTTCCCTTGCAGTGTTATCAGGTTCGGCACGCAAATTTCGAAATCCAGGTTTCCTATTTTCCGTGTCTATAGTCGCTTCGCACCTGAAATGGAGTTTGAAGCTTTATATGTCGACGCATCGTTACTGTTTCAAATAGATTTGGAACCATATATATATATCCAATTTTTCTAATTTTCAAAAAGAACTAAAATTAGTTTATCAGACGTTTTTTGGCTGTTTTAGAATATGAGAAAATGAGTTTTAGAATATTAGAATATTGCTGCATCAATATGCGCGAATTCACAGATGCTAATGCTAATTGATCCATATAGTAATATGAATACTTTATTAATAAAAATGTAACGATATTTATATGATTTAACATAATGAAGGCGAAAGATATTAAAATACTTTATGTAATACGGATGCCACATAATTCGATTATGATGACTTTAGATTTGGAAGCAACGTTGTTGGGGAACGCACAGGTATCATATTCAACGATCAAATAAACGGATTCTTCTTTCCAGAAAAAAGTGAAGGTTCGTATGATAAGTGTATAATGGTTTGTGTAGACGTAGATATCATTAATAAACCCAGAAACTAGTATAAACGTGGCTCATTCAATCTCAAGATTTATAGGCACGTCCTAAACAGTCCCGATATTATTGCTTAGGCTACTGAGAGTCAAATATTTATTCCCCTTTTAACATTTATCCCGCCGTTCTAGCTTTAGAATATATATTGTGTGGCAAGTGGTTAAAGTAGGCATATGAAGTGCAATTCGTGAGTAGGTTAATAGTTTTTATGTATGTATGTTATAAACCTATTGCAAGTTACCCTTCATGGTACTAATATACAATATATATTCTTTGTACTTCATATTTAGTTCATGCTTTGTACTCCCTGCTCCATGTTTAAAATATAAAAAAGTTATTAAGAAAAATATATATTACCTCCCAAAAATGAGCATCAGAAAATTTCAAGGTCTTCCTGTGTTTTACAGACAGTTTAACATATTCCAAGAATTTAATTGGGCCTGGCAGACGGGCATTGTCTTCTACTTGTCCAACCATCATACTGAACAATTCCTCAACTGCTGCAACAGTAAAAATGATACTTGGAGGTGCAGGAAGCGCTCGCATTATAAACTCAACGGCATTGGTAAGTAGCCTTCAAATCAAATTTCTATAAACATCGTTCAGTGTCTACTACGTACGGCAATGATGAAATAAATTCATCACAAAATTAGATATGAATGTTCGTTTGTTTTGCCCATTGTAACACGTCAGCGAGCTCAGTCTAAGCAATTCCTGATTTGACAATGTATTAAAATAAAAGCCCACCACCAAGGTCGGTGTATTTCTCACTTTAGAATGTTAAAATATAAATCGCACAAATGAAATTTTATTAACCATCCAATAATAAATTAATAATAATAGCTGACTCGAAATATACCGTAAATGTGGTATTCCCCAAAAAATCTCATTGGAGACTGTTTTACAAAAGACAAATATTTAGACAATTATGTATCATCTATGGTTTGGTATGAATATCAATGAATCTGTGAAATCAAGAAGAATTCATCACATATGGGATCCAAACACACTTGAAATTGAAAAAGGGATGGACGAGGTAATATTTCTTCAGAGGGTTCGACACCATTTAGTTTCATAAAAATCCTTCCGATGAAAAAGCTTAAAGCTTGAGTAAATTTGCAACATCTGTAAGGAAAAAACTCTTCAAAATCATGATTTTTGAGGTCTAAGCAAGGGGTGGTAAATTACTTTCCTGAGTGGGCCATTTCCAGATAATAGACTTGGTTACTGGGCCGGGTGCTCAAAACATAACGTGAATAAAAACGGTTTATTTACAAATATCAAGCGTAACAGATACTGTACAACAAACAGCTAGTTATGGTATCAAGTGGCACAATGATTGGGACTGATGTAGCCTACTGCATGCGTCCAAAAGCTTGTTTAAATCAAACTCGAAGCTGCTTGTGCTGATGCATAAGACCGCCTGTAAGTTTGAATCCGTTAGAAAAGATCGGTTTTTGCTTTTTTTTAATTTTCGTACTTCAGAATAATAATTCCGATGGGTGAGTTCGTGGTATATGTGGCTCGTTTTGCACATTATATTCAGGTGCGCATAATATGTGGGAAATTACGGTATTTATTTTTGCCAACGAATCGTTACGTTCATCGGAAATTTATATTCAAAAAACTATAGTCGTAATTTCAACAGGCACGAGTAGGCCAGATGAAAAACAATTCGGTGGGCCGGATCAGATCTGCGGGCCGTAATTTGCCCACCGTGGTCTAAGCAAATCACTAAAATCGACAGTGTGACTAATTCTTGGTTTTGAGTAATTGTCTTTAGGAATAAACGAAACAGTTTGTGAATGCCAAATTGATGGATTAAGCACAGAACTTTTAAAAATGCAAATCATCGATTATTTATATTCTAACTCGCGGTAAATAAAATAAAAATCAACAGACAGATATAATCAATTGAACTCATGTTCTCTATGTGTAACCTCACAACAATTTAATCGATTAGATCCCAGCTGATTATGTTGAATGATGTACACTCGTGTTTCTATCCGTTGTTTACTTTTTTCGTATATTTTTAAGGAAACTATCCAGGGTTTGAAAAATCTTGGGCATAAAATTGAAATGGTAAGTGGTTATCTATCAACCGTGCAAGCTATTTCAAGAATCCCGGGAAACAAAATCGCCGCAAAATGTGATTGTAGAAAAGGTGGATACCCTGATGGATATTAACTGCACAATCAGATAGATATTGGTCGATGCCAATATCGAAAAAAAAGAACAGCGAAGAACAATTTTAGAATGACCGTTTTTATTGCATATCCTTTTAAAAAGTGGAATTCAATATATTTCCTCCGTAGTTTCGTTATATTATCCCAGTCCTAACTACATATTTAAATGTGTAGAATTTGCTGTGTATTTTTTATAGTAATTTCGTATTTATTGTCCTTTCAATTTTAGTTGGGATTCAAGTTTTTTGTTGTTGTTTCTTGTAGGTATTTTATTTGCCTCTTATATATATCCTTAATATCAGTATTGCAGAGTTATGCTAACTAAGTACAATTATTCAGGCTATCTGTAAATTGATATGAAATCGATTATCTTATTCTAGTGATTTCCTTTATGAAAAAATAAAGGTATTAGTATTAATTTTCTCATACTTAATCTGCCGTTAAGACTATTCGTTTGCTATTTAGAAATTGAGTTCAGGTATAAATCCAAACGAATATAGACGATGGTGTGGGTTTTCTGTTTCGTGTGTATTCTGAGGCAAATAAAAGCAACTCCGAGAAATGATCTTCTGAGAACTTCAATAGTTGTGACAAATATCTTTACACGTCCTACCTTCGCGTTGTCTCAATATGGCCCAGTGGTGAAACCCTCAGACCTGGCCATGTTGGTTTCGCAGGTGGAAGATTTTGGGTTTAAGCATCTTACAAGCAGAATAAATTGGGCAGGTAATGTTTAACGTGCCTTGTTTGTATAGAAGGTGTGAAAACGCCTTATTCTGTCTCAAGTTATGTGACTTGTCCGCGTGCTAGTGTTTTCTGCCCTGGAAGCAGGCTGAAATATTTAAAAATAGAGGTAATTATTAGGGCTGGGAATGGTTAATCGGGTAACCGATTTTAGATGGTTAACGGTTACGATTTATTTTAACCGAAAAATTGAAGATTGTTTTCTTGTCATATTTCGGACTATATATAGGTCAAATTGAACAATAAAAGAATCAAATCACAACATTTATATGCTTGACACAGTCTTCATAATTTTTAAACAAAAACGTTGATACATGTATCCGAATCCGGTGCGAAGTCCACATAATCTCATCTGTCGTGTGAATACGCGTTTGGTAACTAATCACTGTTAAAATATTCAGCGTCTGAGATGCCGATGATATTGTCGTAGGAAGCAAGTTAGACAAGGAGTGTATAGGGCAGTAGTTCCCAATCATTCTGCATTGGTGGACTGACAGTATTAGATAAAATCCACTACGGACCAGAAATAAAAAAATATTGAAGTTAAATAAACACTTTTCATAATTCTGTAACGTTTCATCTGACTCAAATTGCTACCAGCATTTTACAGCAGTTTATGACTAGAATAGATATGCAACAAGACGCACAAATATATGGACACGTTAGACCAGAGCGAATCAGTCTTTACCGGTACCTTTGACGCTACCGGTACCCTCAAAAAAGTTCTGAATTTCCAGTAGCAAGAATTTTGCAGAATCAAAACGTACAGCCAGTCATGACACTGACTAAAATCCGTGTTCCCATGGATAAAAAATAATACAGCAAAATTTTAGACGAAATATCAAATTTCATAGAATTCACGCAAAATTTTGAAATAAATAAAAGTAATAGCCTTCTAGCGAAAAAAATAATCTTCAACCACTGAAAATTTCAAAGCAATTGGTCCAGTATTCGAAGAGAAAAGCGATTTTTCAAAAACGTGTCAAAGAACAACAACAACATAATATTGAAACGATCGTTATGGCCACTAAACGTGTCCAATTATTGACTGATTGATATATTCATGGCCGTGATTAAACGACATGTTAAAAAAATTTGAACCCCTCAATATAATCATTTTAATTCTCGCAGTCAGTGTGGATATATTAACAGAAAAGCAGAGAGACAGGAACTGTGGATAGATCATATATTTAAAAAGCCTGAGGTTGTTTTGCATCTAAAGTATGCGAGGCACCAAAGTATTATTTTATTTTTTTTACACATAGGAATAGATGAATTCGACTGCATTTTTTACTTCACTGAATTTAATGCGATGTTTCACTATATTGTAGACTTCTTTCGAATATCAACAATATGGAAACGATCTTTTAAACCTACCCCCGGGTAAAAGATCATATCTGGCAACCTTCCCCAGAAGTTATGACGATGGGTCGAGAGACTATTGCACTGTCCAGAACGGTTGCGCTCATAATGAGGTCGTGATCGTTTATGCTCCATGCGCAATTCAAAAATTCGCTTTTCATTGTGATATATCTCAAAGACTTGCACCTAAAACTTATTAAACGATAGCTATAAAACCTTCCATGGGCACTCGAATAACTTAATTGATTCGAATAGTTTCAACGAATAACGAATAGCAAATATACATTCGTATATAGCGAATCGTTTTAATTTATTATTGGACGCATGACCAAGGAACTGGATCGATACTCCCTTACTTTGAGTCGAAATAGTCGTGAACAAACTATGTAACAAATAAATAGGTCATAATCGACGATTTACCTGAGAAATATTTGTTAAATAAAACTTTCGCTACACCACAAATTGAAAGTAAAAATTGGAATATATAGTGCAATAATTGCGCCATTTCTAAATTAGCGGGCGTTTTTTTTAAACTTCTTCGCGTTTCATACTTTTTATTTATTTGTTTTTGTCGTCTGAATATTTTCTCTCCGCATTAAACAGGTCATATAGTCTAATTGTTTTACACATATTTTTCCAATATAACAGTCCTTTTATTTTTCGTTGCTTTTTCGGTTTTCTTTCGGTTCGCTATTTGGTCTGATTTAGATTGGTATCGAGTTGTTGTTTTTGGTTATTCCTCGCTGTGTTTATCCTCAGTTTGTGCACTTGATGTTCTTGGGATCACGGTCACCCTTCGCCAAGGGTTGGTAATCTGACTCCTTTTCGGAAGGTGCAGTCCAACCCGTCTGCCTGGTCACCAATGTAGCAAATAAAAATGATACTTCTCGGGGCGACCAATGTATCAAAGAATATTTGCTTGTTGTTTGCTGTCTATTTATGATCTGACAAAGACACTGTACTGCATAAATGGTTTTCCGTATTGCAATCGTGTCTATTTACGAATAGATGAACAGTTCCAAAGCTATCTGCCAGACATTGCACGCATGTCGAGTCTATTAGGCATATTATGGCGTCATAATTGCCTCTGAGCGTCTAAATCCGACCCTGCTTACTTCTCACGCAATGATGTTACGTTTATAAAAGTATGATTATAAAATCTTTTATAAAAAATGTACTGAAATGTATATTGCTGATACATTGTCACGAGCATATGTTTCAAATGATAAACCTGGTGATATTATGCATGATTATGATGATTTTTATATTCTGACAATTGTTTCTATTTCCCCACCAAGAGCACATGAATTGGTTGAAAAAACCAGGACTGATCAAAAACTGAATAAAATAATTAAGCATGAATGGCCTAATACTGTAAAAAGTTTGCCAATGCCAAATAATTATCAAATCATTCCTAACCTAAACCCTAACTGGATACTTACTAATTTGTTATTTTAAAACATGGAGGGGGTGCTTTTCTCAAATCTTTTTGCAACATATTTGCATTACTGACAGGGACTTTGTACAAAATATCCCAATATTCTTTCCGCGCGGAGTAATGTTTATAAGTTTTAATGATTATGATATCGGAAATCTTTTTTCCATTAGCAAATAAAAAAGAAAAATGCTGATCAAAATAAAAAAATTAGTAATAATACAGTCGGGGTTATAGGGTAAGGAATACAGATTGCGGTGGAAATTCAAATTATTCCTAATACGAACTAGATATTTACTAATTTTGAAACACAGCACGGGTAATTTCTCAATTTCCACATTTTAGCATCAGTGACAAGGGCTTTTTATAAAATACTACTCTACCTTTGTGACATCCTGATCTTACATGAAAAAGGTGATGTTACAAAGACTTTTGAGCATAGGCAGGTAGGCCAACCACATCCAGAGTAATTATCTAATCGTTTGTTATTTTTTCGTCTTTGCGTCGTCGCTATTCTCGCCTTATGCTTATTTTGCATCCAAACACACAGACAAGCACGGTCGCATATTTCTTTTTCAAGGGCCGTAGTCTGATTCTTCAGACGCAGGAAACAGTTTGAATACGTTATAATTCTGACATGTTCGCGCATTGGCTGTGTACTAATGCACATCCTAATGAAAGACCCGAAATTCAATGTCGGGAGTGTCAATCAAATAATCAGTTTGGCTGGCGAGCGAAGGAAAAGAAGGCCCATATAACACAAAGTTTCTCAATCGGGAAGGAAGGTATTTTGATAATTTCAGGGGGAATATCACTTCGCATTTGGTTAAGTTCCACAAATATGATGTATGTAGTATTATTATACGTATTTTAATCCATAATTTATCGAAAATGTTGGGAACCACTGTTTCAGCATTTGTCAGACGTTTAGCAAATGGGCATAGAGGTCTTGCTACAGTGTCGTACGAAATGTTATTGAGGTTTTCAGGTCCGGCTCACGCTTCTGTCATTCGACAAAACGAAATCCTGGTGTAGGATAAAAATATTATACAACGTCTGTATATACACATTGTTTATTGTTGAAGTTCGGTTGTTCAGTGAACCAGAAATGGTTACTCCACCAATGGTTATCAATACAGATTTTACAGACTTTTATATATACCTTTTGTTAGACGATAAATGTGTTTTCGGGGCCAATTCTTGCGTGTTACGATTTATAATAAATTGTGTAATAATTTGAGGAATTATATCTCCGCAATGCTCGTAAACTAATTTAGAATGTTTTCAGTGGCCCAATTATTTCGTTAGGTAGAATTATAAAGAGTAAAAATCTGGCTTTTCAGAACAATTTTGTTCGGATCGAATAAGTTAGACATTTTTGAGTAAACCCCATCGGGTTCAGTACCAAATATAGAACGCCGTTAAGCTTAAAATGAGGAAAATACGAAAAACCTGCGAAGAATATATAGGTCTGTCCATTTTGTACACAAAATTGAAAATAACAAAATACGATATATAGTGAAATAATCGCGCGATTTCGTGAAGTTAATTGGCGGGCGTTTCTTTTGAACTTCTTTGCGTTTCATCATTTTTATCATTCGTTTTTGTTGTAAAGACGTTTGACTAGTTTTTACATTTTTTTACCGGTATAAAACAGTGCATTTAGTGTGATTGTTTTACACATCTTTTTTCAATATAACATTCCTTTTATTTTTCGTCTACGCTACGTCCTTGTCTTTTCGGTTTTCTTTCGGTTCGTTATTTGATTTAGATTGTTATCGAATTGTTGGTTTTGGTTATTCGTCGATCTGTTTATACTCAGCTTGTGCACTTGATGTTCTTGGGATCACGGTCCCATTTCGCCAACGGTTGGTAATCTGACTCCTTTTTAAAAGGCGCAGTCCGTTTGCCTGATCACCAATGTAGCAAATTTAAATAACCCAATATGCCTTACCATCTCCTCGATCTAATAATAAATTTTTATTTTAAGAAGCTTAAACTACTTTCCGGCTTTTATTTTCAAATTTCAGAAATTACTAAAAAAAAAGGAGAATATATTGAATATAAATATGGAGGAAAAGAGAAAGTAAGTACATATGAACAAATTGCAAGTGTTTGGCATGTTTTTACTTGAGTCGGAAAAACATCAAGTTGTGTTTCAAGAGTGTTTTAAAAGTCTATTAAAGAAGACTTGCGCCGAAGTTTTTCATAGAATTTGATCTTCCCAGAGTTCCAAGCTGGAGTCGGAACCAACATATTTTGTAAACCGGAGGTCAAATTATTTCGAGTCAGATTTGAATGCACATTTTCTGCGTTTCCACTGCCCTGGTTGAAAAAATTAGATTATTATTTTAACTTTTTGAACCCCGAAAGCCGTTTTCGGCTTTCGTGAGAACGTTTTTTGACACTGAAAGCTGGTTTTTCGGCCTCGGCATACCTGTATGAGGTATTCATCTTTGAAACCCATATATCGCGAACCTTATATTATTAATTTACTTGGATAATTAGTGTGGTATTGCATGTTACTAAAATATCGTACTTTACGCAATTAAAATAAATATATGTTTGTGACGCCATGACACAGTTATACAGCCTATTATGGCGTCATAATTGCCTCTCAGCGTCTAAATCTGACCCTGCTTACTTCTCACGCAATGGTTGGGCTCATTTGCTAATTTATCCGATACCGCAGATCCTTGCAAACCAGTAGAGTAATGATACTTTGATTAATTTCAGGTTGCATATGGTATGACGTCAAAATTTCCGTTTTGAAGGTCTAATATATAAACGGTGCCATTTCGACATATCAGTGTTTCGAAACAGCCAGCCCTGGTTACGCTACGCTATTTCGTCGCCACGTAGCGACTTTATGCAGCTTCGTGGTCCTCACGAAAAACACGTATTCTTTTCCTTCGCAGGCGCGCATAGTTATTTACCTAAGAGCATACGCTTGAAGCGACCAACGACTTGTAAGTGATATGCAAGTGAATCACACCACATCTACAGCCTCAAGTCGCATAAATATGGAAAACATAAAAAACAAAAAATAAAGATCTCTGACAAAGAATGCTGATATACATCACGAAACGCATTCTTTGAGGCCAATACTTGACTTTAACGTGCCAGTCAGACCAATGATTGTTCTTTCCGTTTCCCACGCATATAGGAAGACGTTGTAAATTCTTTTTGGTAGTAGTGGATTTGGCCTTTATCGTCATCATATGCATCTTTGCCAATGTAATTTGTCAAACTGCACGCTTTACAATGTTATAAATAAATTCAAACCTTATCTGTGTATTCATCATTTATTTACTGCATGCGTGTGTTAGTTCACAGGAAAATGGAGTGCCTAAAGGGCACAATGCTGAAGATTCTTATAAACAATTTCAATCTGCAGCCGTTGTTTGCAACAACTCTATTTCGTGTACCGTGGGAAAAAATATTCTAGCCGAAGGAGGATCAGTTGTTGACGCTGCAATTGCATCCATGCTAACAATTGGTGTTATATCATTCCAGAGGTTAGAACTGAAATGGGCAAATTACGGCCCGCGGGCCGAATCCGGCCCCTTTAAAATTCAATCTTGCCCGCCTGATGCTGCCACAACCGAACTGAAACTAAATTTTGGTGTTATAGATTAAGAAATTTGCTGAGATTGCGGTTAATTTTAGTTTTGGCGCGAGGATTATTGTTTTCCACTTTTGCTTTTGAGACACTAAATATTGTTCATAAACATAACTTTTTACGTCACACTTACATATCCCGCCAGTCTAGGTGGGAACATTTTTTGGCCCTTGATCCAAAAACCGTGCCCACCCCTGGGTTAGAATGTTATCCTCGCATCCTAATAATTTTTTTTCACAAGCCGTATTTACATCCAATTTTCTTTCTTGTCACAAATGGTGGTGCTATATTAATTTTATATATTTCTATTTTTTTTAATATTTTTTATCCTTATTGCAATTAGATGGCACGCGAAAGGTTCAACAGGAAATCGATGTTTTAAATATATGTCGGAGTATAACTGACAAAATTGAAAGCACAAAACGCGCACAGAAACCTATGTAGAAAAAAATCGTGGGGTTAGCTATCGCTTTGTGTAAAAGACAAACTACTTCTCGACGCAGATAAGCTATTACTATACTTACCTATTCCGAAATAATTCAACTAACAATCAAAACAAGAACTGACGGTAGCACATTAAGTTGTTGACAAACAGGTTTATACCATGACGACAAAAATGGATGTAGCGAATTGGTAAAATAACGTGGTTTAGTGTGTGCAAGTTTACTACAACAAAAAAATAGTTTGCAGTGTTTTTTTCGTAACATTTATGTGACATTTTTTCTAAAGTTCAGCACAAAATGCTATTTTGCCAAGTGCTTTGTATTTCTTATTAAATAAATCAAAAAAAAACATTGCATGCTGTCTGGAACGGTGCATTCAAGAAGACACTTGTATTAAAAAAGGAAAACTTGTAATCCGACTAACGTTTTGGCATGGAACCGAGTTAGGGTTGGTAGAGTCACGCTATTTAATCTTCAAAATTTAATACAGTGCCGGAATTGGTGGTGGATTCATCATGGTTTACTACGATGCTGAAACCAAACAAGATTACGTTTTAGATGCAAGAACAGTTGCTCCATTGGCAGCATATCAAGATATGTACAATGTAGAAAGATATCACCGAACTTACGGTAAACTAGGCTATCAATAATTATAAATTGATTTTGAGTCTAAGTGACAAAAGTGGGAAATATTTTCGATTTTTCGTCCATATTTAGAGCCTTTTTTCATCGACAACTCATAAAGCTGTTCTTAAAACCTGTTTGTTTTTGCCGTTCTCAAGCAAAACAATAAGAAAATTAAAATATACTTGGCGATATGACCCCTTTGCGTTTTCTTCTCATTGTCAGGGAGATTATCAATTGCAATCCCTGGGGAAATCCGGGGTTATTGGGAAGCGCATGTGAGATTCGGAAAACTTCCATGGAGCCGCCTATTCGAACCAGCAATTCAGGCAGCTGAAGATGGTTTCGGAATGACCTCTTCTTGCGAAAACTGGATGAACATAATGTTTGCCAAGGTTGAAGAAAATAATAATCTCAGGTTAGTTCCGAAACTGGTGAACAATATGTCGATTTAGTAATATTTTCGGTGCAGTTTTTTCAAGATTACTATGTTTTGAAGTAGTATAAAACTCGAACATGAAAAACTAACTAGATTCTTCCTGACTGAGAATGTCAACTTAGAACTTAAACTAGGCATTGCAGAAGCATTACTCATTTATTGCTTAATTTGTCAATACCCAGTTTTCTACTTTGTATGTGCCAATGAGAGGTTGTGATGAGGAAAGAAAAGATTTATAAACATGTATATTCTTCCATTTGCATGCGGACATATATTATGCAATAAAACAATTGATAGTTCAAAAAAATATAATTGCCATGAGTCATATCATGTGCGTGAAATGCATAAAGTTGGCGGTTCTGAAGTTTTTTACCTTTTTACCACTACAAAAAATTCTCATCATAATAAAATACCATGGTATTTATACAAAAACTAACAGAACTGGAATCAATTGATTTTATTTCATGCATGTGGTCTGAAATATCAGAAACATTGGTGCACGTATTTTTGTCCGAAACTTTTTATATAGGACGACACTATTTACTTTTCATCAGAAATCTATTGAAGAAAGCCGATGGAAATTTTAAACGGGCTGGAGATATTATAAAACGACCAAATTATGCAGAAACTCTTCGCATAATAGCAAAGGAAGGTTGCGAAGCTTTTTACAATGGTTCGCTTACGAAGTCGATTTTAGAAGATATTAACGATGGATTCGGACTTCCGTCTATCATAACAAAGGAGGATTTCACAGGATACCGGTATGGTCATTATAAAAATAATTATTGAGTATATATATATATTTATGTATATATATTTAATAAACATTTTATAAAAACGTTCAAAAAAAAACACATTTAATTTAAAGATTTTCTAGTTTAATTCCCTCCGTAGGGTAAAAATGGAAAAATCAATCAAGATAAATCTGGATGATAACCACCAGCTTATTACGACTCCTGCACCAAGCGGAGGACCAGTGCTTGCTTTTATGCTCAACATACTTAAAGGTATGGGATTTGTATATTTAGTTATGGATTTATATGTGAATAAATGCGGACTGTTTAAGGAACTCGACCCAGACTTAGGCTTACCATACGTCCCGTTTTAGGCGGGACAGTCCCACATTTCAACGTTTTGTCCCGGCGTCCCGACCGATTAACCAAAAGTCCCGCTTAAGCGTTCAGCCAGTCATTACAATACACGAACATTACCAATTAGCACGTTCTCGATACTATTGTTGCTATGTAGCGTGACGATAGCCTACTTACTGAAGGTGGATTCGTGGATTGGTTTGTTAGCGGACAATCTGCTACAATTTGTTTCGTGTGAGCCCCGTACGCTAAAAGGGTGCTTTACGTTAACATAAATTCCTTTCTATGTTTCGAACTAAATCCGTGATGGTCTTAAATGTAGGCCCTAATGTAAAGTTGAAAAAAATCACAGCAATGGTCTTTAGCGGCGTCCCACTTTGAGGTCACAAAAACATGGTAACCCTAGAAAAGTTTATTTGCCCTCAAAGCAGATACACATATACAGGTTCTTTATCCAGGCCTGTTACAAACTATAATGCACCATCACCAAAGCAGCACCCTCACACAAACCTGTAAACAAGTAATAATTACTAAGGACCAACAAGTAATGTCACAATGATTATAAGTGTCTGGTAAAGTAATCAGACCAAAACATTCACAAATTCCCCATTATTTAATAAAATGAATATTTAAGTTCATTGCATTGTTTAATGTCCAGCAAACTTGACGATGATGATCCTTTTTAGTCAAGTTATCTGCAAGCTGTTGTTCGCCGTTACACCATCGAATTCTGGTAATCTATTTGTTGGAGATCATCAACATGGCTACTTCTATTCTCAGTCGTCTATCTTGCACTTGCTTGGTAGACTTTATAGCATCGTGAAATGAGCGATTATCAGTTACAATTAGTGGGAAGTTTTTCAAGATCGATAGCTCCATGCAGGATTTCTGTATACAATGAGCTAATAAAGCATGCTATATCTACGCCATTTTGAATCCAGCTTTGGAGTTCTCTATTTTTCCCAAAAGAAAAATCCACCGAATCTGCAACAAAAACGTCACTATCAACGGTTTGACCAGATAGATAGAGTAGAGTTGTTTGTTCAGATCCTGGAATGCGATCGCTTTCATGGAGAATATCGACAGCATCAAAATCGATAGAGTTTTTTTGACCTTTTAATAATTGTGGTGATTCATATTGCACGTTATATCAATTTTCAAATCGGACAGTCGCTTTTCCTGCTCTTTCTAGAATTTTGGCTCTGTAGACAGTTCCATCATTCTGTTTGAATTTGATAATTTCCGATTTCTTTGAACTTCTAGATTCACTTTTGCCATGTGATTGACTATCCTCGTTTGTGCGAATTTGTTGTTCCGAATCAGTTATAGTTACAGGTTCAATTTCAAACTTCTCAACATCAGATATATTCTCACCAGTTTTGATATCGATGTTGGAATATTCAGCATCTTCCGGCTTCAATTGCATGAGAGAATTTTCACCATCACTTGAATTAATTATCTGCAATCTACATGTGTGGACTCTGATCACTTGGCCACCATAAAGACCATCACACCGTCTCGTCCAATCACTTTTCCTGGTCTACGCCATTTATGACAATCTAGCCTTTTGTAATAAACTCTATCTTCTGTTGTGAAATTAAAAGAATATTTTTTGGTCTGTTTTCGCAGCGCTCACTGAATTCTATCAGAAGATTTACATGCAATAAATACTTCTCTTGCAGCATGTAGAGCTGATATATATATGTTAACCAACTTCCAAGCTTCCCTTCTAACGCAGGTAGTTCATCTACTAAAACTGAGGGAAGATTGATATCCTTACCAAAAACAAGTGAGTCGGACTGAATCCTTTATTATTTATCAAGGATTTTTTTGCACTTACGGCCCGTGCAAAGGCGACTCTTACGCACATCATTTCTAATCTTGTGAAGCATATTTGTCAATACTTGGTTATGCCGTTCACGAACTCCATTACTTCAAGGAGAGTATGCGAATGAAGTATTAACAATAATATTAAAATTATCACACATGTCCAAAAACTCATGATTATTGAATTCTTTCCCATTATCAGTAAACACCTTTTGTGTAGATCCAAAAACACTTATCCAATGGAGCAAAAACTTGTTTGCAATTATGGATGAAGATTCAGACTTTACAATAACAGCGTTGCTAAATCTGGTGAATTCATCGACCATGTGCATGTACCAAATGTTAGATTCTAATTCAGAGGTCGGGAACCTTTTTGGTCAAGAGAGCCATAAAAAGTACATATTTTTAATTGCATTTCCGTGCGAGCCATATTACATTTCTTAACTTAATCAGACCTGGCCGTCGTTGGGTGGTTCACGTAACCGCTGGTCGGTTACGGCTTCCTCCACCACCAAGTCCATGCTTCCGAAAAACAAAACAATACAGTAAAACTAATCCCATAAGCCTTAAGATTTTTCTGGAAGCCATATACCGTCACCAAAAGAGCTATATATGGCTCGCGTGCCATGGGTTCCAGACCCCTGTTCTAATTAATGCAAATCAATTGCTGCAGGCTCATTAAATTGTGATGCCCTTGGTAAACCTACAGCAGAACGTGGTGAAGATATCGGATAATTTGTCATTCACAATATTTGCGTTTCCAAGCAATCTCTTCATGTTTTCTTCAGACGCATGACCGAATTGTTTATGGAGCTTTTGGATAGCAACTTTCTGATCACTATTTGTCATATCTTTGAGCACAAGTACACTTTCATCATAAGTCTTGCACATCTTGTGTGGTACTATTGCTATGCAATAATGTCCACTTTCAGTAAATTGAAGATTAACTGGAATACCAAAGATTGTAACCACATCCTTTTCCATGTCAAGAATTGTTCCTGCTCGTTTAAGTGATGACGGCGGTGTGGCTCAACGGGCTAAGCGTTAGGAATACGCTCGCCACCGCAGTCTAATTACTCTGCGTGGGTTCGCAGGTTCGAATCCCATGCAGAGATGGTTATGTGCGAGAGGATTGCTGGACTCCTTGCCGTTGTTGGGTGGTTCACGTAACCGCTGGTCGGTTACGGCTTCCTCCACCACCAAGTCCATGCTTCCGAAAAACAAAACAATACAGTAAAACTAATCCCATACCCGACTTGGAATGCTAGCCGGACGAGAGGCCGTGGTTTGCCATATGGATAAGCCGTCTTATCGGCTTTCCTCTCCCCCGGGATAAATATGTAAATCCTATCCTATCCTATCCTACTTAGTAGCAAGGGTATATTGTATTCAACAATTTCTGTTCGAATTTGACAATTTATTCCAGCAACTCTAGCAGGAATTATTACACCTTGAGTCGACATGACTTTTCTTCCATCGCCAAATTTGAATCCTGTACCTCCTTGAGAAAACTTGACAGTCCTTCTCAGATTTCTAGGTAACCTGGCTATGTAGGTATTCAACCACTTCCGTCCACATACAGTTTTAGTACAAGCTGTGTCAATTATTGCGGATCCAACTGTTTCACAAATCACAGCTTCGCAATCAGAGCTTTTTGTCATAAAAACAAAATTAACAACTTCATCTTCTGTTTCTTTGTCACTAAAACTTCTAATTTCAGCTTCTGCCGTATTAACTTTGTTTGTGTTATGTGGGCATTTATTATCCCAATGCATCTTTGAATCACATATGGCACACCTTGAAATCTGTCCAAATTCATTCAAGGGATTTAATGTATTGTTTTTACCTTGGTGCATTAGAGTAGATTTTCTTTGACGAAAATGTGTCAATTTTGAAACAAAGGCTTCTTCTTTTTAATGGGAGCAGGTACACTGTCATCCGTGACACTACATCAGAAGATTTTGTGAAAACCCTTTTCAACGCTGATTTCATTCCTTCAAATTTCAGGTCACTAGCCACAGTTAAAGCTAATTATCTTTCTGATTAAGATAAATTTGCACTCTTTAATATTTTGAATGTTAATATATATAGCATCAGGTAATTTAATATCAAATTCCGACATTTTATGATACAGGTGTTCAAATTCTATAATATAGTCTTTCATATCCATGTTGAAAGATTTATTGAATGAGTTGAAAGCAGTATAAGCTGTGTAAGCATCATCTACTTTATCATATTTGAAAACCCTGTCCGAGCTTTCAAACAAGGTTGTCATACCATCATAGCTATGAAGTTCAGCTCTTTGATTTCCTTCAAGAGCACTTAGGACAACTACAATAGCTTGCTCGTTCTTATTAATAGGTGTGACCATTTGCCACATTTCAACTTTATTCCCCCATGCATTATAAGGTATATCATCCCTAAATTCAGGAGGGTTTTGTCTTGTTACTGATGAAGTCATCTCAAAGAGCAGTACCCATCTTCTGCTACCATGAAAAGTTTATTTGCACTCGAAGCAGATACACACATTTATATATACAGGTCCTTTATATCCAGGTCTGTTACAAACTATAATGCACCATCCCCAAAGCAGCACCCTCACACAACAATGTAAACAAGTAATAATTACTAAGTAACAACAAGTAATGTCACAATGATTACAAGTGTCTGGTAAAGTAATCAGACCAAAACATTCACACCTACGCTAGACTCGAAATATAAAATCAATGCGTAAAAAGCAACCCACTGGGGGTTCCAAAGATCAAGTTGATCACAACAAAGTTGCAATGCCTATTTTAAGGATACAAGTTTACGTCTAAAGATTTAAGCGAAGACAAAATTCTAACATATCACCGAATTGTGGAAGCAATGAAGTTTGCATACTATGAGAGAAACCATCTAGGCGATCCGGACTTTAGCATCAAAGTCGAAGAGGTATGTGACGTATACCGGTACTAAATAACTCATGTTATTCATTATTCAAGTAAACTAGGAAGGAAATTGCTAGTTTCATTGTTTTATGTCAATGCTGTTAACACGGGCTAAAGAGTCCACATCGTAAAGAATATGCAACGTACCATAATTTATTGATTTTGTTACGAGCCTAATCTACGAGCCTTGCCCTTACGTGTCCCTAGTTAAATAGTTATACATATCCTATCTCAATGCGGTACTTTAACATAGCCTATGTCAGTATGTACTTTTTTACATTTTCCAATTGAGTAAATATTGTGTTACAAATATTAATCTGTATGTTACCGGTAATTCAGAATACGCACCAAACTACTTTCACTACGCCTTACTTACCTTCCAGTTTCGACCAAAGTTATCCTTCTTGACGTTTGTTGCCTTCATGGTAACCACTTGAAAAGGTGCACGAGGAACCGTCGTGCGGCTCATCATTTTGCAATAAATATTTGCGCTATATACTGGATACTAAATGTATTTACATCTTATATTTATATAAAGTGTGATTAATATGTGCTCTGCACAAAATGCATTCATTGCGCAGTGCTCATGATATAGGCCAGGGATGGCGAACCTTTTTCAATTAATGGGTCAAAAATTACACTTTTATCGCGAAACAGAAAAGAGTTGGTCACATATATTAAATCAATGGTGGAATTTATAAGAAACTTTTGAAATCCTATGAGCTTCTGTTGGTGTTGGTGTAGTTTTATGCTTTACTCGTGCAGCACTTCTATCAAGGATTTTGTCTGAAGATTTGAAAGATTTTGTTTTCTCAACGGCAATGTAGGCAAGAAACTAATGAAATAAAGAGTAGCATCCAGTTCTCGCAAAACCCCTAAAACAGTCTTGCAGATGCACTTTCGAAATAAGTTGCGAGAAATTAACCGATCAATCAATTGCATTGTTATGTCATAAACGATGTCAAAACCAATAGCTGAATAAAGGTGCAGACATGCGTCCAAAATTGGGGGTTTTGAAAATTACCATACCGGCCCGGAATTTAACAATATGAGCGATCGCAGCTCTGACTGCCCAACTGACGGTACAATATAATATTTAAGTTATTGTTAGATTAATTTGAGGCCGGTTTTATCAATTTTTATCACTGACATGTTTGCATTTTTTATTCGTGCCTTGGTGGGTCACGAATAAAACTCGGTGGGTCACTTTGTGACCCGCGGGTCAGTGGTTCGCCATCCCTGATATAGGCTATAATAAAAAATGAAAAAAAAATATAACAAACAAGTGTCCTTTTTTCTCATTTATGACAATTTCAATGCCATCGCCATTATGAAATTGTACTTCTGCGGAATGATTTATTTCGTGACCACTAGATATACCTTCACTTTGGAGACACGGCCGAACAAAGGAGCCTTGTTGAACCGAACCACATTGACGCGCTGTCAATTATAAATCAAAACATCCCGCCAAATGTTATTTAGTATGTCTGGTGTTATACTGTTTACTATTCCAGGTTGTACAAAATATGGTTTCTGAGGAACACGCTAGGGAAATTAGGAAAAGAATAGATGATACCCAAACACATTTAATAGAATATTACGGAGAAAGCTTACTCCCATTACCCGAAGATCACGGGACTGCACAACTAGGAATAATCGGAAAAGACGGAAGTGCAATCGCCATGACGAGTACCGTTAACAACGCGTGAGTGTTTAAATAAAAAAAATTGGGTAACTGCTTTAATTAACAAACCAGATTAAATCGATGATTTAAAAATATTTGGCACCCTGAATGCACAAACCTTGGAAAAGTTGTAACGAGCAAAACCGTTGCTGGTCGAAACAGAGATTAAACAAAACGATAGGTTGAAAAAGTTACTCACCATGCTTGTGATTTCATTTGTAACAGCCAGTGGGTTTGATTTTAAATTGTATTTAAATATTAAAAAAAATTATGCAATGGAAAAAATTAAGAAGAATGAACAATCGTTATTGTTTTTGCAGTTTCGGTAGCAGCATGTATGGTAAGAGAACTGGCATACTATTCAACGATCAGATGGCACTATTCTCAGTACCACAGGCAGGTTGGTGCGAAGTGTACTTAAATTTATTAGCGGTAAAACTCAAATTCATAGGTATGCTTAGTGTAATATGTGTAGGTCGTTGACCAAAATGATGTTTACTCATTAGAGGCCATATGTTTACATCGGGGTTTGATTAATGAATGTTTCCATTGTGAATTTAGATAACCCAAACACCTATCGGCTTCAGAATCTCATAGCACCGGGAAAAAGATGTGTAACTGCAACCTGCCCGTCCATTATTATGGAAAAGACTCCCAATGGCTCAGAAGTTAAAATGGTGATAGGAGGATCTGGAGGTTCACGTATTATCAATTCTTCTTTGATTGTAAGTTCTAATTTCAAACAAAATAGGAGCATGGAACCGAAAAGTTGAAAAAAAATATGCTGCTCTATTTGGATCACATTCCCATTTCGACATTACGGTGGCGGATAAACAAAAAATCTTAGTAGACATATATGATTATTTCGGCATTTCTGTCATATCTCACACTATTTTCCCCTTCCATTTAAAAATGTCTAATGTACTTCATTATATTATTCTCCAAATTAGGTTATAATGCGGACTTTATGGTTCAACAAGAACATCAATGAAGCGGTAAACGAAAAACGATTCCATCACTCATGGTATCCAAACGTTTTACGTTTTCAAGAGGGTTTTAACAAGGTAAATTTATAATCAGCTTACTGATTATGAAACGTTGTTGGCCCAGCTTTTTAAAAATTACCCGCCCGTTTTTTGACCCAGTTTGATAAAACCGGCCAATCCAGAAAAAATTACAGTCTAGGCAAAAGGTAGGCATGCGCAAGAATGCACAATAAAGAATTTGCTGAAAAGACGCAGAGAAGGTAACATAAGAGAAAGCAGATAGCGCTTGACGCAGGGGAAGGTGGGCCACAGTAGAAAATCAGCTCTCGCACCATAACTGGAATCAGTCTTGCGTTTCGATGATTGACTCCGCGTTTCAGTGAGTCACGGGCGCCGGTTGTGCAGAGTGACGCAAGAAATGCGGTGAAATTGATTTTACCTTAGCCTTCCCATCAGGACAAACTAATGTCTGGTGTTTTTCAGCTTTAGTCCACTGTGAAATATTCATAATGTTGGCGATTGGGTGTGCCTCCCTAATCTTGACATGCAGACATGGGGCGGTCTGAAATGTTTGATGCCCATGGGAAACAATAGACCGACTTAGAGATGCGCCATGTTTTGTGTATAGTATCATGTTATCTTCAGACCAATGGCTTAATATGTAATATACTCTATAGTAAAAGTATAGTGATATACGAAAAAGTAAATTATTTGCTTTTGGTCGGAATCAGACATTTTACTTGTTAATATAAAAATGTTGGTTTTGTTGTTTTATTGACACATTGAACAGTTTAGTGATGAAAAAAATTACGATTTTGTTTTTGTTCTTTTTGAGCAGCATTCAAAACTCGTATTCGATGTTTGTGGTCTTAACAAAGAACTGCCATCGTTAAGAGTGGAAGTTTTGGAACTCATTTTCAATTGATTGAAATTAGGCATAATCCAAAATGTAAACAATGAATTTATTTCAAATTTAATAATAACAATCTGACATATTCAACAAGTAATTTCTGAGTGGCAGACTCATTAGATACGTATGTCAGTGGTTTTATGTTGCCAATGCGGAAATGTGTTTTTAGAATTTAAAAAGATCTGAAATATTTTGGTTGAACAATGATTCCGAATGGAATCTCCAAAATTGATGTCCTACAGTTAATTAGATGAAGATTCTTTGCTAGTTTTTAGCGGCATATTTAGTTTGCCCCGTTGTGCACCAGGATTTGTCTGAATGTGTGGCCGGTGGGACACCTGACAATCGTTTCTCAAAGCATTATGTTCATTAGTACATTACTACAAGCCATTAGCCACCATAATGCTCTGAGAAACGATTGTCAAGTGTCTCACCGGCGGGACGCATTCAGACAAATCCTGGTTCAAAATGCAAAAGAAAAAATGTAGTCCAATCTTCCTCCTATGCGAGTTCGTAACGTTTTTTCTGTGTTACTTAATTCCGGCACCTCTATATACTTTCAGTTCGGATTACGAATCTTAGTGTAATTCAAAGTACGTAAATTTTAATTTAATTATCCCTCAGAGTCCTAGTATGAAACGAAGATGCTTCATTAATGGTACCATACAAATAAAACATCGGCTTTAGACATCCTTTAGCCAATCTAAATAACTTATTATTCGGTAACCATACGTCTGATATCAATTAATGATGAGCAGAAGAATGTAACTGTTCGAACTGGACTGCAGTTTCCTATAAATCTATTCAAATTGGCCGCACATCGCCAGACAAGTAGATGTTTCCTCGACGTTGGCTATTAGTTTTTTTTGTAGTTTTACAGTATATTACGTTGCAAAAATTGAGAGTGCTGCATCACGTAACGACGTAGGCCTTACTTGGCGAATAGAAACATTTGAGAAAACGACAAAATTTGCATTAGGTGCGGATATATAGAGAAACATCCATCCTCAAATTAGAAACAAGCGAATACTCTTAACACTGTTGAACCTTTCACGCAGGAAATTATTCATGGCCTGAAAAACAAGGGGCATGAAATCGAAACTGAAGGATCCCATGTTTCAACAGTTCAAGCAATTATGAGACAAAACGAAAATATAATTGCAGCCAAATGTGATGATAGACGAGGCGGCTCACCGGATGGGTTCTAGAATATATTATAAATATTCTATAATATATATATTTATTATACTGTAGCGTGTGCGTAATGATTACTATATAATGTATATATGGATTTTTATGTTATTAGTGTACTTGAATGCAAGGAAGCCGTTTCAATTCTGGTGATAACAACACCAAAAGCTTTGTGCCGAAAGGATTGATGACCTTTCTTAGGCCCTTGGACGAAAGTTTGGAAAAAAGGGTCTTTCATGCATTCCTTGTTTTCAGTTCGATTGGGATTTCAACTGTATACTCTTATTAAGGATTTGAATGTTTATTTCGTATCTCTCATTAGGAACAATTCAATCCTGAAAATTCAATAAAATATACGAACATTCGGCATTGCAATCAATTGTGTGCTTATTGGGGTTAAGTTGGGGCTTACTCCATCAAGTTTCCTAGTACTGTAATGGAACACGCAGATAGGGTCCAACTTTCCCCACAACACCCCTGTAATGAAGCTTCGTATGCTCGGTGGTGTTGGGCATCGCGCTAGAAATACGCTCGCCGCCGCATCTCCGATTACTCCGCGTGAGTTCACATCCCATGGGGGATAATCATGTGCGAGAGGATTGCTGGACTCCTCGCCACGGTGGGTGGTTCACCTGATTGCTGGTCGGTTACGGCTTCCTCCATTATCGAGGCCAAATAACTGGCAAACTGGCCTACCTAAACTGATACCCGAAATGAACTGGTTATATATGATCAAGCAGTCTTATTCGGCTTTTCCCTCCCCGGGGATATGCGAATCCTGTCCTTTATAAAAGAAATTTGACTATTAAAGTGTGCTCTATGCTGGTGATAACTGCTATTGCAATGAATGAAATAATGAAAAATATTATTCAATATTTATGAGAAACATTATTCAGTATTATATTATATGCTCATTCAAGCATCGAGACTGTTCCAAAGGATTTTCTAGCATTGTTAAAAAAACAACAGTGCATTCGATCATTGTTTATGAAGCAGTTATAAATTTGTTAGGCTCTAGAAAGTTTTGAGACAAAATGTGAACTCTTGATAATCTAAGTCGAGCTGGACCGCAAGTAAACACAACTACACCGATGATATGTAGTAAAAAAAGTGCTGAACAAAAAGCATGAAATCACTAGACTTGAGTACCAACTCAACAAACCCCACTTAAGTGAAGATTGTTTGGGCACATTGAAGCTGTCAAAACTTCTTTTGACTATCAATAAATCTTGGCCTAAACATCTAAGCGAAACTGTTGGCATTGAAGTGACTCGAATAAACTATATGTAATTTGGGGAAATAAACCAGAATTATTGATATTAATACTATCCGATTTCCTGGTATTCTGACATATTCTGTTACATTTATAGATTCGGTTACAGCTTCCTCCACCACAGAGTCCATGCTTCTGAAAACAAATAACTAATCCCATATCCGACATGGAATGGTATTCGGACGAGAGGCCGTGGTTAAGCCGTCTTATTGACTTTCCTCTCCCTCTGGATAAATATGTACATCTTGCCCTAATATGAAGTTGGACAGTGGTCAGTGGCATTGGTATGTCAGTATCATTAGCACAGAGGGAGAGAGAGATTATGGGCATAACCTCATACCTTTACAATTAAACAATGAAAACACAAAAATGGCTTCTAAACCATTGCTGTTTTCTGGTTTTCATGTTCAATTTCCTCATTTTTTGGACCTAATATGACACTACTTTTGTTGTCTAAAGTTAGATATTTCTGTGCAGCATCTATAATAGCTTGTCGATTGACATCCAGTAATTGCTCTCTATATTTTTGCCTCATTTCATCTGAAATGCCATTAATGAAGTAAGCATTTCCTATGTTACAAGGCGACACTGGAGCGTCCACTTGCTGAAATATTGCTAGTATTGCTTCATCAATGTCTTCTCTGGAAAAACCACCTTCACATGCCCATTCGATTGAGTTACAAAAAGATTCTATAGTTTGTATTGATCTTGGATCACGATAAGAGTAAAATTGGAAGACACCATCGTTGCAGTGTCGAGCTCCTGCTCCATAAGCTCCTCCTTTCTCTCTGACCTCTCGCAGTAAATACTTTGTTGACAGAATTCGAGATAATATTCGAAGAGTGGCAGAATCTCTGTGAGTATATACTGCAGGTGTTGGAAGGCACATTGATGAGAAGTTTACAGGGAAAGGCATTTCCTGCAACAATTGCTTAGCGGGTGTGGGAATAAAGTTTGGACTGATTACTGGGTGTAAAATATCCAGGGTATGAGTTGACGCTTCGCCAATTTTTGAGTTAGTCTGAGATATTTGGCAAAGAAAATTAGACAATTGAGATTCCACATTCTGTCTCATATTACCAGTGGAGTGAATGCTGCATCTCACTTTTTCATCTGTATTTACATTGGTTGTTAATACGTACTTTGAGACCTCCTGCAATTGTGTGAAAATTTTGTCAATGTTTTGCTCTTCTGCCACAGAGCGCATTAATCTGACCTGTTGTAGACCTCCAAACATCTCATCCTGTGTCGCAGCTGGAGATAAATTACTGCTGGCATTCAGCATTGCATATCTGTGCCCGCTAAATGACACAGAATTGGCTAATTCTTGCGCCCTTTGTCTAATTAATATTTGCAACCTATCCCTATCTTCAAAGTTGGGTTTACTTAGAAGCTCAGACCATAAGGAAAACATATGATCTATATTTTTATCCAAACAATAAGACCCGAAAGCAACTTTTGATTCCATGCTAAGATGGTTAGTTGGAGATGGCGAGACCTTGATTGAAGCATCTAGACCTCCAGTATAAAGTTGTTCCAAGTCCGCAAATCTCTGGTAATCTGTATCTTTTGTGCCCATCTGAGTCAGAACAGAGCAAAATAATGGTAACAGTGGTCTCAGTTCATCTGGTATGTTGTTCACAGTTTTCAATAATGAAAAGTAGGTAATTCCATTAGTTGGCTGTCCGTGCATAACAACCTTAGAGCTTGAATCGAAGTTCAATATATCAGGTATTTCAGTCTCTTTTTGTTTTCTTGATATGTCTGACACCAATAATGTAGGGAGACAAGAAATATCTTCCACTTCGTTCTGTAGTTCTTCCAACTCTTGCCCTTGTTTGTAAATTTTGGATTTGTCGTTTTGGCTCAAACAATCCAGCTTTGAGTTAAGTAATGTGCTTTCTTGTTTTGTCTGTTTGTCTTTGTATTCAGGATCTGGCACCATTGCCAATATCAACTTATGATTGTTATCTACAAAATACTTTTTACAGTACTTTTGAAATAAGTTTGGATCAGCGTCAAGATTTTTACGAAGGTTTGCTATATGACTATCAAAATCAAGTGATTTCACTGGGTCAGAACCATGTTGCCAAACTGGCATTAAATTAAAGGATAAATGAAGACCAAATTGACTACTTTGGTGCTTTTGATGAAGTTCTACTTGATGCAACACACCCTCTACTCTTTCTGTTGGAAATCCATTTTTGACAACAGAATCCAGAGTGTCATAGACAATATTTTTCACTTTTTCTTGGTCATCAGAACATATTCCTTGTAATCCAATACTAAATACTGATTCTTTTTGATGACTATGAAATCCACTAGATGGTGCATAATCAGATCCAATGCCAGATTCAATTAGGGCCTTATAAAAAGGAGAAGACGGACCATCAGACAATAAACTGCATAACACTGATAAAACAAAGTTTGTATAAGAGTCTTTTACATCAGAAAGAAGAAAACTAACAGCAACAGAAGATTGTTTTTCTGGATTTGCTGCCATATCATCAGGTGAGCATGATATCTCAGCTGCACGAGGAGTTGACCATCTTACTTGTGAAGGGACATCAGTATTTGGTTGCATCGATGTGAATTTTTGCATAACTTGTTCATCAATTTGCTTCAAACAATCGATAATATCCAAGTTTCCGTAGGTATAAAAATTAGCATTACTTGGATGATAATGAGTCCTGTGAAAATCTTTCAAATCCTGCCATGTCAATTGCGGAATAGCAGAGGGATCTCCCCCGCTGAAATTACCATAAGTATGATCAGGAAGAATATTTCGCTGCATATTTGAACCAAAAAGATATTCTTGATCTGTCATGACTCCCTTCATTTCATTAAAAACAACACCTTTGAATATGATTGGGCTTGTTACATCATTTGTGACACTATGCCCTAACCTCCAACCTTCTTGTAAAAAGCTTGACTCGTGCAGAAGTGGGAAGAAAACAGCATCCAAATATATTGACATTAAATTTTTAAAGTCCTTTCCATTTTGTGTAGCAAATGGGTACATGGTGTAATCAGAACCAGTCATTGCATTCATGAAAGTAGCCATCGAACGATCAAGCATTTTAAAGAAGGGATCTCTTACAGGATATTTTGAAGATCCACAAAGTGCTATATGTTCCAAAATATGAGCAACTCCAGTGCTATCCATTGGGGTTGTTCGTAAGCAAACATTAAAAACATAATTGTTATCATCTCTAGCAATATGAAGATGATTACTGTTTGTACCTAGATGTTTCAATTCAATTGCAGATAGAAATAGTTCAGGAACAGCTGTTACTCGCGAGACTTTGTAATTGTGGATGAGAACTCCTTCTTTCAGGCCAGCAGTGGTAATATATCTTTTTGTTGATTTGTGGAGACTTTTCCTGCATCCTTGACGAATTATATACCTATACATTCTCAATCAAGTTTCTATAATTTGCTGGAAATTGATAAAGTATTTAAAATACAAGGTATACAAGTGGGAAGATGTGTATTGTGTAGAATTTATAAATACATCACTGAACACGCTTCATGATGAACTGTGATTACAAGTACGGTGACCAACAGATTTATTTCTATCTATCATAAAACAAATAGCATTTTTTTTAGAAAATCATGTTAATGATTAACATTAATATAATATGGATGGTGACCGTACATTTGAACCCATGTACATTTGAACCCATGCGTATATCCACGGGTTCAATCTATATACGGGTGCTAAAACCCATGGGTTAGGGTTAGTATGGGTTCAACTATCCGTGAAACAAAAAAAATTCCATAGGTGCAACAGCATACAGGTGCAATTGTCATGGGTTCAAATGTACGTGGGTTCAAATGTAATGGAACCAATATGGATATGTTTTCAGTCTAACATTGTTGGCCATAACTTGATTTTACCAATAAATTATATAATCATCATGTATATTTTTGACCTTTTTTGCGACACGACTCACGACCGATATTTTCTAACATGCTGTACACCCGTACCCCTTTCACGATATATGCTGAATTAATATTAAAAGGTCCTACAAAAGAAAGAATATGAGGCAATGTGTTTTCTGCGAATTAGTTATCCTCCAGACTGGATTCCATGGCAGGTGCACGCCCGAGGGCGCTAGCGCTCCGCAAAAATGCACGTGAGCGAAATCAATTTTGCACGCCGAAAATTTGCAATTGCTCACCAATGTAAATCGGTTTAAATGGTTTTAAAATCAATAATCCAGTAATATAAAGATGCCAAAATATTATAACTCCACAATTGTCGACAAATACCAGCTTGCAAGATTTGGTCTGATCGAAATATTGCGAAGCAAAAAAGACCATGGACCTTTCCCCGACCTTTGACCCGCGAAAAATTCCTCTCATTGTTACGTCCTTTTTTGCATCTTGCTGATTGGCCAATGTCACGAAGTAAACAAGGAAGTCGATGCTCGGGGAAAGGTCCATATCGTGTTGAATGATAGGAATCCCGTGAGAATAGTTATGGACGAAAAGATCGCCTCCGCACCAATGGCCAAGTACGGCTCTGATTCAGCGTATTTTTCATACAATAATTTTACACGAATGTACTGAACAGTACCGGTATCTAAAGTTGCTCAAAAATTAGTGACAAAGTATGAAAATAATGTTTGGGGTCAAAGGTCAAACGTCCATTTTGCTCTAATTTGACGTATTTTTTATCCATTAATTCTACGTAAAAACACTACCAAAATTAATGACAAAGTATGTCCGTTTTGCTCTGGTTCAACGTATTTTTTATCCAATAATTTTACGCGGATGTACTGAACAGTACCTGTATCCAAAGTCGCACAAACACTCTCAAAATTATCGACAAACTGTAGAAATAATGTTTGGGGTCAAAGGTCAAACGTCCATTTTTTTCTCTGATTCAACGTATTTTTTTCCGATACCGGTAATTTTACGCGGATGTATTGAGAGGTATCTGATGTCAAAGTCAGTTGCACGCGAGCGCAGTTGTTTTGCACGTCGTGAGCTATAATTGCACGCCAGGAATTCCTATTTGCACGCGGGAATTTCTGATTGCACGCCCGATTTCTCGTTCAAAAAGGCCATGAAATCCAGACTGGGTTATCCTTTATCCTTAAAATTAAATTTTCTATAACTGTCTTTAAGTACAATATCACTACTATTTATTGCAGTATTGGGTACCATATTTTCTGGCTATTAACCCGATTTTCAAGACCAAATTTTCAGTCATTTGGGTGGCTTAGCTTTCGACCAAAAAATACCGGAAGTCAAAATTGGTCTGGGCGGTACCGTACTCTGGGTTGACAAAGTTCTCTTGTCCATGTCAAAGTAAATATTTGAAAAGTACTCTAAAATTCAAGAAAATCTTGCTAAAAACATAAAACTGTAAAAGCTTTTCTCATTTGCCTGTTAACTTGATGCTTTTAGAATTCCTGCATTTTCAATTTGGTTTTTACTATTAAAACTCTGAAATTACGACTCAAGTATTCAAAATCTAGACTTAGGCCCGAATATTAATAAAAACATGCCATACCCGACAACAATAGACTGATACCCAGAAGAGAGGCTGTTATCACCATATGATTAAGCTATCTTTATGGGCTCTCCTCCGAGATAATATGTATATCCTATCCCACTCCAGTAGCCTACTCTAAAACTCTACTCTTTGAATTACATCACAATCACATAATACTAAGGTTTTGTTTGCTCCCCTGATTTCATAATCAGTTTTTGTTTATTTGTTTTTATCTGTCAAATGTATTGTCATGCTGATTATGGAGTCGAAATAAACTTATACTGAAATAGTAAGACAATCAGACAGCTCCAACAAGAACTTTAATACAAATTAGTCATAAAAACGATAAGTACAGAAGTAGGGTCTCATGTAGTTTCGTACCTAACATAGCGTACTTCTATTAGGCGTAGCATAAAAATTTTTTTCACGTGTCAATCCTAACCCCAACCGGACCTCACCATCCAAAAATTACGTCACTACGACGTCACAGTGAGTCAGTGACGTAATAGAGCCCTTCAATTTATGCAAACTGTCATCCAAGAAGCGCAGACGAGAACCCGAAATCGAACAGGCACAGCCATTTCTCTCGTTTTCTCGTCGTAACCAAAGCCCATCGTACTGTCGTAACCAAAGTGACTTTTATCGTAACGATCCCGATAGGAGGGAGATCGCTGACGTTAGTCATTTCTTTATCGTCGGAGCCGATGCCATTTCGGGCGATCGTTCGAGTATTTGGCAAGGTCTATGACGTGTTTGTGACGTAATTTTTGGATGGCGTAGTCAGGTGAGGATTGGCATGTCAAGAAAATTTTATGCTACGCCTACTAGAAGTACGTTAGTACGAAACTACACGAGACCCCAGAGGTACCGGTAGGTCAGTAGGTAGTTACGGTAACCATTAAGTATATTCACGTGAACATAGGTACAAATATCGCATTTTGGTACCGTTACAATAATATTGAGGCTACCACAATTTTATAATTGATGAGCAGTTTTGTAATATTTTCAGTTTGTGTAGTTACTCGACCGCGACACTAAAAAGGTTGGACATGCCTGTCCTAATCCTTGAGGTCCTAATGCCAAGTCATTTCTTTCCGCGAAACAGCGTAAATAACAATATAGTATTGAGAACACCTCTGTGAAGCTAGCAGCAAAACACGAAATTGTGACTGACAGAATCGCAGAAAATACCCACGCGTAAAATTAAGTTTGGTATTATTAATGGCCAAGTCAAAACGTGCTGCTACTGTTATGGTATAGTGAAGTCGAATCTAAAAGGTATTTGCTTTTTTCCGAATGTGTCGTAGTGCTGCCTTTATTGGCGGTTCTCGAGAAATCGCCCTTTCAAAAACGATTATTTTTCGGAATTCAGAAAAGAACCCATTATAGAAAGCGTAAAATGTTTTTTTTTTTTATTTCAACTTTCCCAATTAATTCTTAGTTTAATAAACGCACAGTATTCATTTGTGACAAAGAGAAAAATATATTTGATCAATTTTCCAGCAGCTTCAGTTGAAATAAAAATCCATCTTAAATTTGTTACGTCGACATTGTTTATAAAACTGAGAATACACGCTATTTTGGTATTATATATAGCCAATTCAAAACATGCTGCCACTGTTTTGTTATAGTGAAATCAAATCTATAGGGTATATACTTTTCTCCGAATGTGTCGTAGTGCTGCCTTTATTGGCGGTTTTCGAGAAATTGCCCTTCCAAAATCGATAATTTTTCGAAATTTTGATTAGAATCCACGAGAGGGCGTAAAATGTTTTTTTGGTATTTTATACTTTTCTTCTGCAACTCATTCTAAGTTTAATAGACGTACAGTATTAATGTGTGACAAAGAGAAAAATATATATTTTATCAATTGTTCATCAAATTTAGTTGACATACAATGCCTTTTTAAATTTGTTTCGTCCACATTGTTCATAAAATTAAAGAGTATACGCTATGCTTGGTATTATATATGGCAAAGACAAAACGTGCTGCTACCGTTCTGACATAATAAAATTGAATCTATAAGGTATGTGCTCTTCTCTGAATGTGTCGTAGTGCTGCCTTTATTGGCGGTTTTCGAAAAATCGCCATTTTAAAAACGATAATTTTTTGTAATCCAGGACAGAATCCACTAGGAGTCGCAAATGTTTTTTTGCTGTTTTATACTTCCCGCAACGTATTCCAAGTTTAAAAGATGTACAGTATTAATGTGTGACAAAGAGAAAATGATATTTTATCCATTATCTAGCAAATTTTAATTGAAATACAAAATCAATTTTAAATTTGTTACGTCCATGCCGTAAAATTTAGATTACACGATATGTTTGGTAATATATATGGTCAAGCCAAAACGTACTGCTACTGTTCTGTTATAGAAAAATCGAATTTATAGAGTATCTGCTTTTCTCCAAATGTGTCGTGGTGCTGCCTTTATTGGCGGTTTTCGAGGAATCGAGGTTCCGAAAAGGATAATTTTCCGAAACTTTGTATTTGCGGAATACCTGAAAATTCATTTTTCGCTTAGTTTAAACACTATTTTCTTGTTAAATTTAATGTATTCATTCAGTTTCAAGATTTTTCATCTATTTTCGTGCCAATATTATATTTTGATCAGCATTTTCAATTTTACCTATAAGTGAACACTATATGCGCGTGGAACCTATATTCAATGTGTAAAAATATTCTGGCTGAAAGTGCTGCTAGCTTCACAGTGGTATTAAGAACGGTGTACACATTTTCTGAGGTCAAAGGTTGTGGCTAATATCCATGACCGATTGGATGTTCCATGTTTCCCCGAGCATCGATTTTCTTGTTTACTTTTGTAACATTGCCCAATCAACTAAAGTCCCCTGCAATAACTTAAATTTTAGCAAATCCACATGTATGATGATGGCCATTAGCTCGCTTTCGTAGTTTTGCTATCTATTTGTCAGTATTTCCAAACTTAGGTGAAATTATATAACTCAACAATCCTTTTTCTTTTCTGAAAAGTTTTAGCTTAGTTGCCGTAGAACCCGAAAGTCACTGGTCTGAGCTATTGAAAACCTGACCCGGCCTTGTGAACCGAAAGACAGACAATGAGTCGCCATATCTACCCCTTGAGATAATACGAGTAACCTAAATTTTTTTAACTTCACTTTAACAATGCATACATATTTTTATTTTCCAATATTTGCTTTTATTTTCGAATAATTTGTGCTTCAAATTACATCGGAAAAAAAAAACAATAAACAGAAAATAGGCCTGTCAATAACGTAATCGGAATATTCATACATGGGATCGATGTAGTAAGCATACTTTTTGTACACTGAACATTACCCGAACAATTATTTAAACACCGATATCAACATAAAATCTAAAAGAAACGAGGTCAAATGATTTACGTTTACCCCCGTCCACAGTGTGAGTCTTCTCAACAAATGACTAGACTCATGATTTGAGTGCTTATTTAACACTGAAAATCGATTTTTTAACTTCAAACACACATAAAATGAACTCCCCAATGTGTCAGATCAGCCAAATTTGAAGGTTCGAGTTTTGAGATTGCGTATTAATCTTAAGATTCGTTTAAAAATATATCTTTGACAGGGTTTGATACATCTCCACAAACTAAATCTGATTTTCCATCACCGTTAATGTCACTCAATTGCAAAACTGCCCCTGCTTTAACATCGCAGCTGCTCCGAGTGCCAGACCAGTTGGGTTTTTGCTTAAAGCCACCTGCCACATTGAGAAAAGCTTCGATTTTTCTAAAAAAGAAAAAAACTACGTAAAAACACAACGTTAGGTTTATATTAATATATAAAAACTTCAGAAAAATTCTTTGCTGCATTACAATAGTTAATATAGTTTCATTCTATTCGTTGTATATCGCTTGTATGCGCTGGTCAGTCAGACCACGCGTGAATCCCAGGCCGCCTGGTTTGAGGCAAAAGCGTGAAATGCTTATAATTGATTACTGCATGGCGAAAGATCCATTATTCGGGTACGTTGCTCTTACCCAGTTGCCATATTATAGCATAGTAAATCGGTGTAGCCGTCTCCATTTAAATCTGCTGGATGTACGTTTGTTCCTTTATCATCATCTTTCGGAGAAAACTGACAAAAATTTGTTTTGCCTTCCCAACCAATATCACCATATGTTCCAGATGGTTCTGCGTAATATATTTGTCTGGAAGTACGTGTAAGCCGACCGTTTGAAAACATAAATTTTTTATTTATTCATATGTTATTTCGAAGTGATCAAAGCACAAATCATTGAAATAACATTGGTTTTTGTTTCAACGTACACGTGAGACGTCATTGAAAGATAGATACCGTTAATTCAAAGGCTACAATGCTTTACTTTCTAAAATAAGAAAAAAAGGTACTTATTACACACTTAATCCTGAATATCTCACATTATACCATCTTCTAAAATGCAAATTAAGTCGCCACGTCCATCGTTGTTAAAATCACCAGTTGTTAGATACCCATATGTACATAATAATGAATTTCGTCCGTCGTCCTTTGTAAATAATCCTGATGGTGGCTCTGGTATCAGATAAATTGAAAATATGTCAAAAAGAAAACAATAATTAATAGTTGTTCCACCTGTTTTCTTTCGTATAGTCGAGAACTGACGCAATAAACATTAACAAAAACTTTTTTTAACAAAAAAAAAGACCTTCAAAACGTGCGATGATGGGATTCCTCGCATCGTCAAAAATTGTCACTGCGATCAATCAAATAACAAAAGATGTACCGCATAATTGACGCCAAAAAATGAATCAGTTGAAGCCATAGTGACTCAAAGAAAAAATGATTCAATAGTTACAAACTGTTTGGTATAGTGTTCTTTGTGAAATATGTTCCTAAACGTTAATAATGATTCTCCGTTAAAAAAATAAACATACCAGGAGGCTCGCAAGAATCTGTGTTACACGCGTCTGCATCTGTACTATTTCCAATACAACCAGTTCCACCACATTCTCTTTCTCTATTACGGCAAGTTAATATATTTTAACATAAAAGTCATTTTTTGTTTACAGAAATCGTATATTTTTACATTTAGAGTCGATTTCCCTTGATTTACTGCGGAACAATAAAAGCTCTCCTCATTATAAATAGCCTAAATGGTCAGTCAAGGATGTGTAGAGCTTTGAATATAATTTACTATTCCCAATTGCAGTTATTGAGCTCAATAGCTCTGCGATAACCCTAACTCATCTCAACATTGCAAGTCCCAGATTTTTCATTCAAGCTCTCGTTTTTTTCGTAATTCCAAAAAATACCATCTACCTATTATTAGTGTAAATTATGCAGGCTTTACTGGACCAAATTTCAGCTATCGTGAACTTTTGAAGCGCTTGCCTCTGTGGTGGTCGAAGTATGCAGAGCACGCCAAAAAAAATTCAAATAATAAAATCGAATAGGAGAAAACAATGCAGGTCTAATACATTTTTGGGGTAAGAAATTCTTAAACATAGAAAAATTGGCTCAAGCGTCGTTTTCTAAGTAATTATCTACTGACAACCTTTGTCTTGTTCCCTCGCCACAAGAAACTGAACACGACGACCACAACTCCCAGTCTCCCCATTCTGATTGCGGCGTTGTAGTAGGTGCCTCTGTTGTAGTTTCTGTAACAACAAATTCACAACATTATGTTTACAACTACAGGCACGACGGTATTAATCGGAACGTAACCTTCACATTTCATACGTATATCTGAGAAGTCTAACAATGAATATGGTAATATTAAGATAGATGAACGCGAAGGAAAGTGTTAAAGCAATGAGAACCATTGCCAACTGAATCTGGCGACTCACAATTATTTTAAAAATGTGTCATTTGAGCGCAGTTAAAAATACTTTACCCATACCTGGAGGTGAGCAAGCATCGGTGTTACACGTCTCTGTGTCCGTTCCATTTCCAGGGCAACTAGATCCATCGCATTCTCGTTTCCTGAGAAAACAAATAGGATGGACCATACTGCAAGTTATTTTCTGTTTATACAAGTAAGCATTTTCAACTTGGTTTAGTTGTCACGGCTGTATATTGTGCTTTCATATTTACTGACCTTGTTCTTGTTCCTTCGCCACAAGAAACTGTACAAGAAGACCACAACTGCCAGTCCCCCCATTCTGGCATTGCCGTTGTTGTTGGTGCCTCTGTCGTCGTCGCTTTATTATGATAATTGTGACATTACAACATCGAAATAGTGTAGATCATTATTATTGTATTTATTATATTTAATATACCAAAATCGTTTATTTTATATATATTTTGCAGTAGAAGTTTAAGTTTGAAATCCTAGACCACTACTTAAAAATATGATATCGTCCATTACATTATTGTATATAAAAGTTGTCAGGAATAGTTCAATTAAAATGGGCTTGCTTGGCCTTGGTAATAATACTCGCTAAATTAACAGTGTAAATACAATATTTATAAATTTCATATGAATCGGTACTCATTGCTTACTTGTGGTTTCTTCAGTGGTGGTAGGGACAGGAGTTGTAGTGGTAGTTGTTGTAGTAGTAGTAGTTGTTGTAGTAGTGGTAGTAGTAGTTGTCGTGGTCGTAGCGGGTGTGGTTGATACAGGGGTCGTACCCGGTGTGGTTGACCATGCTTGAGGTTTTGTACATTTAATTTCGCATTTGCGATACATAACAATAATACCTGTGTATAGTATGAATTGTATATATAAATTTGAAACATATAAAAACGATTGACAATTTTAAAGCAATAGAATAACAAGAAGATCGCAATACTTCATGCCTGTGATGTCGCCATGGCCTGGAGGAGATTAGTACGATGTTACCGTTGAAAAAGCATACTTAATTTTGCTAAAACCAGACTATTTTAATTTTTACTGTTTTGTTAAAACATATGTGAACAACGTGACACGAGAAGAAGCTCGGCTATTACGCTATTTGTCCTGCATCCTAATGAATTTTTAAACAACTACTAGGCTAGGATGGTACATACTCACCATCTTCTTCATATTCTCCTTCGTCTATCTCGCAATCTCTAACAAATTCATCACCCTGTCGAAAAAATAAACTTGGAAAACAAAAAATACTTTACTATAGTTGTCGGCAAGGCTATTTACACATGCGTATAGGATCAGATTATTTTTCGTAACGTTGTTACTGTTTTTTCTTTACATAATTAAATTCGAATCAAAATGTAAGTTTCTCATATCATCGACCTCTTTCTTGATTGTACACAAAATGTACAATATTAATATTATGTTGTTGTTGTTGGTATTTTCCTTCGTATTATTCAGAAAATTGCTTTCTCTTTAATGACTAGGCCAATTACTTTGAAATTTTAAATATATTTTTTGCTAGAAGACTATTGCCTTTATTTATTTCAGAAATATTTTGGGCTCTATGAATTCGTTTTTGTGCGCAAAGACGTCATCAACAATTTCGCACCGTATGGCGATTCTGAGTTTGCGTTAGATTTGAAGAAATCGGTACCGTGACAGATTGCGTACCCGTACTACTTCGTTTTGGTCTTCGTGTCCGTATATGTGAGCAACGCTCTCTTGTTTTTTCATATCAATGCCCAATCGGCAAGAAGTCAACGAATTTCCAAGCTCGTTTAAACAGTTTTAAGTGGTATTCGTTGGTTTTCAGTTATATTACCACAATTCCTGTCCATATAAATCAATTCGGCCGTCATTTTGTTTTCGGAAGTGCTTTAGTTATATAGACGGGAAAGACATGCTTTTAAAAACTGTCGTCAGTGGGAGTTTCTTGGACATACTGGAACAAATTGGTGATTTTGAACATTTGAACTAGTTTTTACACGCCCAATTGCCAAGATACTCACAAATAAAGTACCGGTAATAAAAATTTCGCAGTGACGAAGTGTGGAAAACTTTTTCTGGGGTCAAGGATCGGAAAAACATCCATTTGCACCCCTATCCCAATAAAATATGTGCATAAATGAAGTATATTCATTTTCATTGTTAGGTGCGCTCAAAATTGTCGTACTCCCGAACTATGTGAACCAAGATGGCGGACACCGGAACGTAGTATGTGTACCAGGTTAGGGTAGGCAATAATTTTATTCCAATTTTCCTCATTGTAGTTCTATTACGAGTTCAGGGACTAGCTAAGTGACTCCCGTTGTATTAGTACCTGGAATTATGGCCTAACCCTAACCTGGTACACATACTACGTTCCGGTGTCCGCCATCTTGGTTCACATAGTTCGGGAGTACGACAATTTTGAGCGCACCTAACAATGAAAATGAATATACTTCATTTACTTCGGGAATATCGAATTGTCTTCATATATCGTACATATTTACATGTCCTCGTCCTCTTTTGTTTGCCTTCACCACATGACCCGACGCATTTCAACCAACGAGACCAATCTCGTAACTTCAAATCTGGTTCTGAAACACGTAAGCATAATGTTTCCGATAAATATCGATAAAAAAGAATGATAAAAATAGGTAAAAAAAATATTTGTGACAGAGCTAAATAGACAAAATGATTCGCTTGTGTTTAAGGAGGTAACCTCTATATTGTTCTGGTGATTTGGCGTATATATACGGTCCAGTTATCGACGTCCCATACCATGCTTTTAAGTTGGGTTCTGCCAGTCTGTTCTAAATTATTAATTAGTATTCGAGCATATGTATGATATCAATACAGTACACGTATTCGAAAAACGGTGTAATGTAGTGCCATTGTCAGATCAAGCACTAGACGGCATACAATCAGAAAATACAACAACAGTTTAGTAACCAAACCACAAGAAATATCAATTCAAAGTCCTACATTTGTATTAGGAAAAAAACAATTTTAAACAAAGATATTTGAACTGATTTTCCAAGAACTCAGTATATAGCAACAGGTAAACGAGGCGTTAAGCCTAAGGCCATTGAATTCGCGTACAAATTAGCCGTACAGTGTACACGTGCACCATGGATTCTTCGTAAAAAAAGATTCATAAATGCAAATCAACAAACACTGAAGAATTCTACATTGAAAACAAATTATTTTTATATTAATATACCTTCCCCACATTTGTGCGTTGCACATTTGGCTTCTCCAAAATAGCTTCCAAACTCATGGCTGCAATCTTCACCAGGACATGTTCTAGACCTGGTTAAATATATAAATTTAATTTAGTGACAAATTAGACTTGACTGAAGTTCAAATGCAATATTGTTTAACCGGTTCAAGTCAGTGTGTTATTATAAATAAGTGACGATATTCTCATCTTTCTGTCATGAGTATAACATACCTGCCTCTGTAACCGCCATCGCACGTCGCGGAACATTCTTCCCAAGGTCCCCATTGCTCCCACTCGCTACTCGCTTTCGGACAATATGGAATCTTAGAACGGAATTGAACGAGAATCACGACGGAATAACAAGAGGATTTCCAACGTGAAATAGAAGTCAATCAAAAATTTTTTTTTTTAATAATAAGCAAGAACTATTCACAACCTTCCACAACTATTCACAAAAGTGCAGACAGAAATAAAAGCATTACTTGTCCTACCTTGCATTTCTCCTTAACAGAAGGAACACCATCACAACCCATGACGTCACCATCATTACTGTCCACACACCGTCTATATTTTCGTCGAAAAGGAACAAGTTCATCAAGAAAACAACTTTGACTGCATTTTGACCAGGGACCCCATTCTGTCCAAGATCCTGTGAAAAACGAAGCATCAGTGTTTGCACCCAAATGCTTTGCTCGGGACTCGGGACTGTGATGTATGTATCAATTGTATGTCCCTCAAAGTCCCTCTTTCTTTCTGCATTTCAGACGAATACACAAAACGAAGCCACAGGGCGCTTGTGTACCCCTGTTACTCCGTATATCTGACTCCAGTAAGTTTGTATACGACTCATTTTTTGCACGTCTTCTTCGATCCGAACAAAGCTCTGTACGAGCAGCAACTGCTACGGCGGATGAGTTATCATAGTTTGAACGGGCCGGAATATTTTCGGATCGGCATCGTCTACACATTTTATTACACCCTAAATAAGTTAGTGTTCATGGTATATGAACTCGAGATTTATACACTGTGATGCCAACATAGCTAAGCTTTCCAGACAATGCTCTGAAATCAACGTTCATTTCATTCCACCTGGGCCAGATTTCAACTTTCACGTCGGTTATTGAGAAATCATTAACAAACATGATGTAAATCAACCAATCCAACCGCTTCCGAGTTTGAATCCGTTAGCAAAATAGTAATCAATGTTATCATGGTTTAAGCTAGTGCTTCCCAACCTTTTATGGCTCGTGGTCCTTTCCAGAGGCTTTTAAAACTCATGATCCCCTGTTTATCATTCCAGTGGTATTTAGTGTTATTTTGATTAGTATATTCCAAATCCCATTATGTTCAAACAATTCATGCTCAACAAAGTGAAAACATCATATGAAATAAACTTATCAAACAATGAAACTAGGGAGAACAGGGAGTATTCTTGAAATTGAAAAGTAAAATCAGTTTTGCGCCTAGCAATGACTCCCCCATTCAACTACTCTGTGGCACCCTTGGGCTCCCGCTCGGGAGCCACAACAATTATGTTTTCCACATTGCATGCTTTGATTTTGTCAAAACATTTTCTGAAAAATCTAAAATTAGATGTGCTCAAAATTAAAAATATATCTCGAGCGCCTGCTGTAAAATCTGTTGCGTATATAACAGCAAACCCCATGATAAAATACTTTCTTCAGTCACTTACCTTCTTGAACTTGTCCAATTGATTCCGGCTTGCATTCATACAAGATATTGAGTTCTCTAATATCTTCGTCAGAAGGAGCTATTTCATTTCGTCGAACATAATCCTGTTTACCAAAAATCAGAAATCAAAACAACGCACTGCCTGAAATCGCGCAAACATTCTCTTACAGTGGATTTGTGTAGAATTGAATATATTTTACAAGATTTAAATCCAGCTCATTGCATTATGCCTTTGTGGAGTGAGAGTCGGCAAAAAAGATAATCGACTACAACGCAGGCATGTGCTTATTCTTGTAGGGATGTTAGAATGTGCCTAAATGCTGTATATATCTATTATACCGTAGTTCCAGGGTACGTCATTGTGGGTCCAAGTCCATTGCTTGCTATCATCCCATCGTAATGCATTAACGACTTGACGTCATAATCGGAACCAAGATCGTTTATGCGATCTTCGTTCAAAAGTTTAAAATTTTGCTCCTTACCTGTATGAAAAAGTAATGTATTATATCATTTATAAATATTTTTAAGGAAATTCAATTGTTTTGAACAAAAATTCGTTTTTCAAAAGTAATTCACCTTCCATCACATTTTCGGGATGATAATCCAAATACGCATTTCTATCTGGCCTACTATGTTCATGATAGAATCCAAAAGCATGTAATATTTCGTGTTGAACAGTTGCTACCTTTTGACAACCCATGCCTATTGAAATAATTTGACCCCATCCGATTTGCCTTCCTATTTTTGACCTGCAACGTAATAATGTGTCATCGATGAAACGTGGAATGCTCTACGTATATATCCCATTTAGCTAATTGACAAAATAAATCATTGTCTATGGTAGAAGGTACATATAATTTAGGAGAAATTTGTGAAATCCTATTATGAGATTTAAAGCCGTTTGCTACCCCACTTTGTATGGTCGTTTCAAAATATTTTAATGGTCAACCTCAACCATTAGGCCTTAAAACTTCATTCATGGCTCTTTCGATTCTTCACGTTCTATCTAGTGAGATGATGCAAGAGAGACATTTTCGGGCAATTTTTCATGTTTTTGCTGTTTGTTAAATTGTGTCTAGTGAAGTGCAAATTTTATCTATTTATTTTCAGTCCTAGTGTTTTCCTGTGTACTTCAAAATTGTCTTTGCGAAGGTCGGGAATTAAGCACTAGGCTTGACCAATATTATTTTTGGTATCCAAGGAACAGTGATGATTTGGTACAGCACATTATTATTTTCACATTTACGAAACACAACAAGAACAAAATGTAAAAGTGATGCTACGCTGAAATGGCTATGACACAAGTCCCGACGATCAGCAAAGAGCTTTCCTGAAAGTTTATTATGTCAAATTTGCCACCCTTTGAGATGGCAGATATTAAAACCGTGTTGTCGGTGTGATTGAAGAAGCAGAGGAAAATCACGAAAGTGCGCACCGATTGGTAGAGAGTTGCGAGCATTGGCATATATTTTGCATCCAGGCCTTATTTTGCGCTAATGTTGCTTGCGTTGAGTTGAAAAAAATTTGAATTTTCAAGTTCCTACCAGCATCCATCTTCTTTGGTGAAATGCATGTATTCTTTTTCTTCCTTTCTTGGATAGAAGTCAAAGCAAGATACTTCGGCAAAGTATTTCAGAGCAACCATGATATTCGTGTCGTAACCGGAAGCTACAAATTCATCAGTGATATTATATTAGACTAGAGCAGGGGTGGCCAACCTATGGCGCATGCGCCAAACGTGGCGCATTGCATGATTAGAGGTGGCGCATTGCATCTTTAACCCTTTTCATGCCAAAATTGTTAATTGCACTTGGCTTCTCCACACCAAGCCGTTTTTTTGCGATTTACATGGTGACTTTTGATTGTACATAAAGTCTATTCTCCTTACTCCACGTCGCCCACTTACGGCTTGTTGGAATTAGAAACAACAGGCGATTATCGACGTTAGCTTTCGGACGGACTTTATGACATTCATTCTAGACTTTTAGCAAAAATTAGTAAAATTTACTATTTTTCGCCTACTGAAGTAAAAAGTTCAGAACTTTTGGAAAAATAGAAAATCGTCATTTATCAGCTTGAAACATGGATTTCCCATTGCCCAGACTTCCCAAATATCTCCAAATAACCATTGAACAACCAGTTGAATTACCCAAGCCTAAAAAATTCAGTACAAATCAACCCACAGCATGCTGAAAAAGACCCCTAAATACCACCTTTTTCATCCAAACTTCAAATGACCGTTGTCAATAAAAGCGAAGCGTAAAATCGCTTGCTGTGACGCAAGTACTAATCTCGAAGAAGCCTGGAGTAAAATCACGCGACACTCGGCCAAACAGCTGATTATCAAAGGCCAATTAGAATCGAGGGTAGAGTAGAGTAGATATTGATACTAAAGAACTGAGAAAATTTGCCCAGGGTTTTATATGTCGTTTCGGAACGACATATAGATGTGAACAAACATTTTCTGCCATGAAACTAATTAAAAGCAAAGCGAGGTCAAGACTTACAGATTTAAATTTGAAGAATGCACTGCTCCTCTCAGTAACAAACTTAACTCCAAGAATAAAAAAACTGGCGAAAGTAAAACAGCAGCAAAAGTCTCATAAGGGCGGTACTTAAAAAATAAAATTGATCAGTTTTATTTATTATACTTCCTTGCTTAATTTCTATTCATGTGAAGTTGTAAATTGTAAAAACTACATATACGTGTGTATATATGTGTGTGTATTATAAATTTATATAATTTCAACAAGAAGTGGACATTAGGCGTGGGAATACAAGAGATTTACGGCGCATCTGAAACATTTTGTTTAAAACGTGGCGCATGGTATGTGGAAGGTTGGCCACCCCTGGACTAGAGTATAGACAGATGAAATTACCTAATTTGTGATGAAACTTCTCGAGTCCATCAAACTAATCATGTATAAATTCCTTGGCCCAATTGAAAAAGTGTTGTAAGACAAATTTAGAGCATTCTCCCAAGTATTCCCAGTTTACTGAATGGTGTACTTTAGGCGAGTGCCGGGGTGTGCAAGAAGCGGCCCGCCAAGCCATTTGGTATGACATATGTCAACATATCAAGCATCAAATCCTAAACCGGTAGTGTATGTTTAAAAAGGCGCTCACGTGGGTATAATAGAATAATATTTTTTGCTCTTGTCGTTGCAACAAATGTTTTGCGGTTTTGCCGATGTTTTTAGTATCGTAAGTCTAAGCGATTGTCTTTTCATTGTTAGAATTTATCAATTCGTTGTGTAGATGAAAAATCAATATATTATGTTGGCCCAGCTGGATGTCTGGAGTTGGTTATATGGGCCACCAAAAAAATGTTGCACACCGCTTCTTTATCGGATTCACTCCGAGGCAGGTATGGGAGTTCACTCAGGTGTTTCGATTTTCAAAATACAATGGCTCCACTCCATAAATGGAAAAATGAAAAACTTTTAATAGGTTGATAAGTAACTACCGAAAATGACGTATATTTTCTTAACAAAATCATTTTCACATGGTTAACCTTTACATTCAAATTATTTTAAAGGCAAAACTACCACGAATATCTGCCGCCAAAATAAAACAACGTCGGGCAAAAGTTTGTACATGAAGATGTACATAGCTACAAGTTAGATGTAAAATAAAGGTTAGTCTCCCATGGTGAATAATGCTTTCACATTTTTGCAAAACATCTAAAAACACTCACGCAATTTGGCGTCAATCAAAAATGGAATTTTGAACCTCCCCCCGACCTCATTTGTGTTCCACAACTTGATCCAGTCCAATGTCGACGCCGAAAATAGAGCAAAATCTTCCTCATCCTCGAAAGTTCTGGTGTATCCATAATTCTAAAATATAATTCAGTGATGATATCCGACCTGGCAGTTACAAATTTTGAAAAAATTGCAAAGTGAGCAGCTGAGTAATATAAATATCTCTCATTTAACTGTTCATCCATTCAACAATCAAAAATAACATAGATCAGATATTAAATACGCTTGGATACCCTCATCATCTGAGGCAAGTCTTCTTCCGTGTATTTCACGTCAAATTCGTGATGACCTTCGTAAGCACATCCACAAGTGTAACATCCCGTAACCGCATCCCTGTCGAATCCGAACGGACAGGGTGATTGGCAGTCATCGGTATCAAAATCACAATCTTTAGAAAGATCTTAATTGCAAGTAATATGTACTTTTAGTAATGCTTGATAGTGTGTGCAATTCTACACGAGTTTTATCACTAACTTTTTTAAAACAGTCGCGCCAAATGTAAAACTCATTTCACAGTCGAGGTACCAGCGAAAACATGTTAAAATCAACGCATGAGAATAATACGGACGATAGCATTACGAGTTCTTGCCGCAAAGTAAGTGATATTTCAACTACAGTCTATTCGACTTTATTCATTTCTTTGGGTTCAAAAATAAACTATTGTACCAAAAATTCAATAATAGATTTAAATCTGGAGTGTTTAACGTCTCAATATTGGCAAAAGGACATTTGTGAATATTGTGAAAATACATTGAAAATAGCCTTTTCTTACATGAAAAACTAAATATACGTTTCAAGAAGCCCGTGTCCAATGCGACACAGTATACTGACCATGGCATTGATTTATTATTGAGGGATCAGCAGAATTGGATTCTCCTTTCTCTAATGCTTCAAGCAACTCCTCACATCTCATCTCTACTAATGTTGGTTCTGTCAATAAACTGAAACGGTTACGGGTGCTCAGAACAAAAAGCTACCTTAGATGTTTTATGTTACTACGGCAGACTTTCATAGGGTCACGGACGCGTGGCAATATTATTATAATAAATATCATCAATTTACTTACCACTTTTTAACAAAAGCACCAATCCCACTCCAAAAAGTCCTAGAAAAAGAATTGCTATGCTACTTAGAAGAGCTGTCCATGGGATTCCAGTCTTGGGTTTGTACTGTGGAACACGGCCTAAAAAAAAGACGGACAGTACTGCGTCTGCTTGTATACAATACAGAGCAGTTAACCAAATTATCTTCAATTAGTTTCAATATAATGTTTTTTTAAAATAGCGTATCAACTTTTTTACATTTCTGACGGAATAAAATACTACTACCGGTACCCAAAAATATGCGCCTAATGTAACTCACTTCTACCGCTTCCGGCTGTGGCTTGTTTCGGCTTGCTGTGCTTAGACTTTGACGGCATGCTTCTTTATATTTTGTTATTTCGCAGGATATTGATAAACACAGAATCTTTCGTTGACTCAGATTTCAGATCAGATTTAAACGCTAAGCCCTTCCATTGAAGAAATTAGATTATCACTCCAGACAGGAGGGGAGTATGAATGCTGCTTCAAGTCAAATCCCCACACTAAAAAAATTGTTTGGGCGAGTACTGAAATGTCAATTGTTACGTCACTATTGATTTTTTGCAGATTGTCGATTTCACAAAAACGAACAAAGAGGTCCATAAATGTTTCTCCGACCCTTGACCCCTGAAAAATTCTACCTACCTGTACCACAGAGATATATAAATGTATTTCCAGTTCAGTGGCCTGTTCTAACTACCGCAAAACTTTGGGTGCTTGTTTTGCGCAGTACAATCAACGGCGTGGTGGAGAGCGTATTTCTAACGCTTGGCATAATTAGAGATGCGAAAAGATGTGACGACTGCGACTTCTTGCTCTGAACGCTGACGCCACTAGGTCTGACTTGCAATGTTTCTTATGAATACTGGAATGTCACGGTGTTTCATAGCGGGAACTAAAATGTGCTATTTGAAAAAAGAAATGTATTATGTCATTTGAGTAAATTAACGTGTTGAAATTATGGGTATGGCTGCTCATGAATACAGCTACAGGTGGTAGCAGCTCAAAAAGTATGCCAAAGTGAGAGAAAGTTATCCTATTTACCTATGCAAATGTCATAAGGTAAGATTGGTTATGGCTGTCATCATTATTAATCGCAGACTTACGTTGTAAGAGTATGTCACAATTTTTCAGATGTGTACGATTTGAATACCGATAATTTTAGCAGAACCCCTCCATGCTCGAGCTCATACAACAGTCATCATAGTTGCTGTATATTTGTACATGGATCATTCGGTTGAAATACAAACCACATGTATCTGAATGCTGGGAATTTCTCATTCCCATTTATAAGAAGTTACGGACAGAAGTTTCATCTGATTGAAATGGCAAGCACATCACTAAAGAACACCATAAGCGGAAGATTTGATTTCTGTGAACTTATCAGTCCCAATTATGAGAGGTCACGATCGGCAGTTTGTGGCCAAATATAGACTTTTGGTATGCTATCCTAGATCTAAGTATACCCAAGCAAAGGTAGAGCACATTGCTTCACTCACATATAGATTACGCCAATACCTATTGATTCTTTTTCTAAGGTGCAAATAACAAAATCAATGTATTATCTCAACTTCTTATAACAATTCAGCATTTTACACCCTTGGGAATAGTAATCATTCTTGTTATGGGTGCCAGCTAAGAATACTCAATGGAATTTATTCAACTTGTGTGTGAGATATAATTTGTTAAAAATATGCATGAATACAAGAACACAATAGTAGTAGTATTTCCTATGTTACCAATTGCATTTTAGCTGTCTTCAAGGTTCCAAGCAAGAGTAGATAATTAAAATGTTGCTGCACAGTTATTAGTTTAGTATTTCCTAGATATTTTACGGAATTGGTTACGGTTCTCTCATTTTTAACGTTTGAAAGAGCTTGTTTGACATCACAAACTCCTTGCTCAAACAATTCCAGTAGAAACACGGCAGATAAATACTAGTTCAGAAGTCTGTAATTGTGAACTTGGCATACCATACCGTAATCTGATTAAACCCCTTACTGTCCCAGTATGTACCTCGCAGAAGCCAGTTTCTTACGATATTCTTCAGTAGTTGGCTTGGTATTTCAATCAACGTACAGCAACTTTGGTGATTAGGTGTAAGAGCTCAAGCATGAAGGTTTTGGAAACAAGTAGCTCAAGCATGAAGGTTTTGGAAACAAGTAGGCTACGATATAGAAGACATAGATTATTGCTGTTATTAAGGTTCTCCGTACATAATAAGTAGCTTAGTTAAAACATTGGAATGGACGTAATGGAAGGAAAATTGACAAATTAAATAAGAAATTGGAATTGATGGAATCCCGAATTACCAAAAATCTAAAACTGGGATTAAGAGCAATTGTAGGAGACAGTATGAGAGATATTCTGGAAGAGTCAATCAGCGAACCTGACAGAAAAATATCGACCTAAATCAACGAATCCGTCCTGAATAATACGCAACAAATGGCGGAAAAACTAGAAGCTATGTTCCAACAAAATGACGAATTAGTTGAAAGGCTGGAGTGTCTACATATGAAAAATTCAAAGCTTGACACCGATCTCAACGCAGTGAAGGCAAGCCAAAATTTTATTACGCAGAGTTCAAAATTCAAAAGGACTACCTAATGAAGCTTGATCAAATGGTTAAAGATCTATCTGAAAGCAACAAAAGCCTGTTGAGTTTGTGCACTACTTTTCAAAAGCGTTTTGATACTGAGCTAGAAGACCTTGCTCAGTATATACGAAGAGAAAATCTGGAATTTCATGGAATCCCATTTAAGAATGATGAAAATACAGGCAGGATTATAGTGGATCTGGGCAGACGATTAGGCATCACTGTTGAAAGACTTCACTTATCCATATCACATCGAATCCCAAAAAAAGATGGCTCTAACACTGGACCTATAATAGTTCGCTTTACCAACAGAAACATAAGGAATCAGTTCATAGCCAAAAAGTACGACACCACCGAAATTAAAGATTTCGGCATCGCAGGTATGACTTCGCTTTATATTAATGAAAATCTGACAAACTTTCGAAGTAATCTCCTTTATATTGCCAGACTCACCAAAAAATCCAAAATGTTCGAAAGACTCTGGACAACAAATGGCAACATTTATATGAGAAAGACCAAAGATAGTCCAAGAATCCCAATAAAAAAGCTGTCAGATTTAGATAAACTATCGTAATTGCATTTTGTTAAATTCATACCTAGTACAGTAGCTTAGCAAAATGGCTTCACAGCAATTTTGCTCAAATTGCGCCAATACCTTGCTGACTTACAACAATATTTTTTGTACAACTTATTCAAAGTGTTTTTTTTTCATTTAATTATTGTCCAAATAGAATAGACAGAAAACTAGAAACTCTTGACACATCATATTTCAATTATATTAATGTCAAGCCATGTATGTCTCTCGAAACAGTTGATAGCGTTCTGAATAATTTGAAAACTCCTAACTCGTCAAATCACCAATTTAATTTGGCTCATTTTAATATTAGATCATTACAAAAGCATATCGATGAGTTATCTGACATTATAGTTGATTTAGATTCATTCCCTAGTGTAATAGCTATCTCAGAAACCAAACTTAAAAGCGATCCTGTGGTTAATATTAGAATTAGAGGTTACAATTTCTTACATACTCCAACCAAAACTAATGCTGGTGGGGTTGGATTATACTTTAAGTCAAATTTGAATCCGTCGCTGGTTAACAAATATATGTTAGGCATCACCTCTTGTGAAGACCTGTGGGTAGAAATACCCATTAGCTCGGGGAAATTCTCTTCAATCATTGTTGGAGTTGTATATAGACATCCAGGTTCCAATGAATACGATTTTATGAATGTACTAAGCTTAACTTTGTACAATTTGGCCATAGATAAAAAAAAATTTGTAATACTAGGGGACTTAAACATAAACTTATTTAGCTGTTCAAAATTCACAAAAGATTTTCTTGACATGCTGAGGTCCCATGCCACAATTCCACTGATTACACACCCAACAAGAATTACTAGTTCCAGTTCTACTCTGATAGATCATATATATTCAAATATCAGCAAAAAAAGTGTTTCATCAGTTGTTTGGCAAAATTGTTTGACAGATCACTATCCAATTTTTTGTCAATTTCAGATTAAACATGCCCATAATCAACACAAACTAAAACGTGATATGAGAAATTTTGATTCCGCTAACTTTGCTCAAGAATTGTTTGATTCATATGACCTTTCTAATGTTGATAGTCAAAATTTCAATTTTCACTTTGAAGATTTTGTCTCAAAAGTATTAGGTCTATGCAATAAACATGCGCCAATTCGTAAATTAACTAGAAAAGAACGCCACCTAGAAAGAAAACCCGGGATAACCACTGGCATTTTGCGTTCTACCAAAGTGAGAGATAGATTGCACAAAACCCATTTTATTAATGGTTCTATAGAACAAAAACTTCACTATAAAAAGTATGCTAACAAATTATGCCATCTAAAAAATAAAGCCAGAAATACATTTTTCCAAATGCTCCGAAAAAAATATAAATGACCCTAAAAAGACTTGGAATATAATAAATTCATTGTTAAACTCTAATTCTAGCAGAAATGTACCCCAAAAGATAACCAATCAGCACTCTGGGGAGGTTATTATGACAGTAGCAAAATTTCTACAACATTTAATAGTTACTTTTCTCAGATAGGGAGAAATCTAGCCGCAGTATTTCAAAGCGTAAGTGATCGCGAACACCTTAAATTTATAAGGGCTCCAATCGTATCATCCATGTTCATGGAGGATGCCTAGTGATGGAAATAAAAAATACGATAAATTCTTTGAAAACAGATAAAGCAGCTGGGTATGATAACATACCGGCATATCTCTTGAAACATCACTGTGGGTCTATTAGTTCTTCACTGTGCAAACTCTTTAATTATGCCATGTCCCTTGGCATGTTTCCAGACCACCTCAAAATAGCTAGGGTTGTTCCTGTGTACAAGGCTGGATAAAAAGATGATGTGTCCAATTACCGTCCCATTTCTATTCTTTCGTGTCTCTCAATTGTTTTTGAAAAACTAATACTTGCTCGGCTAAAAAACTTTTTAGACAAACACTCAATAATAAATTGTGATCAGTTTGGTTTTCGGAACCAGCATTCTACTAAACATGCAGTCTTAGACATTATTAGCAAATATTACGAAATCATTGATAAGGGATTGGTAGGATGTAATGTACTTTTAGATTTGAAGAAAGCATTTGATACAGTCGATCACAAAACACTCATTAGCAAACTCAAACATTATGGAATTCGTGGTAGTGTAAAGAAATTGTTTTCTAGTTACCTGAACAGTCATAGTCAATTTTTCGCTCCTCCCGGCAGTGAATCTGAACATGAATTTGTCTCTGTAGGAGTCTCACAAGGATCTGTGCTCGGTCCAACTTTGTTCTTGATATATATCAATGATGTCGTAAATTCTACCTCAGCATTTGTCAAACTCT